ACCCTAACCCTAACCCTAACCCTAACCCTAACCCTAACCCTAAACCCTAACCCTAACCCTAACCCTAAACCCTAACCCTAACCCTAACCCTAACCCTAACCCTAACCCTAACCCTAACCCTAACCCTAACCCTAACCCTAACCCTAACCCTAACCCTAACCCTAACCCTAACCCTAACCCTAACCCTAACCCTAACCCTAACCCTAACCCTAACCCTAACCCTAACCCTAACCCTAACCCTAACCCTAACCCTAACCCTAACCCTAACCCTAACCCTAACCCTAACCCTAACCCTAACCCTAACCCTAACCCTAACCCTAACCCTAACCCTAACCCTAACCCTAACCCTAACCCTAACCCTAACCCTAACCCTAACCCTAACCCTAACCCTAACCCTAACCCTAACCCTAACCCTAACCCTAACCCTAACCCTAACCCTAACCCTAACCCTAACCCTAACCCTAACCCTAACCCTAACCCTAACCCTAACCCTAACCCTAACCCTAAACCCTAACCCTAACCCTAACCCTAACCCTAACCCTAACCCTAACCCTAACCCTAACCCTAACCCTAACCCTAACCCTAACCCTAACCCTAACCCTAACCCTAACCCTAACCCTAACCCTAACCCTAACCCTAAAACCCTAACCCTAACCCTAACCCTAACCCTAACCCTAACCCTAACCCTAACCCTAACCCTAACCCTAACCCTAACCCTAACCCTAACCCTAACCCTAACCCTAACCCTAACCCTAACCCTAACCCTAACCCTAACCCTAACCCTAACCCTAACCCTAACCCTAACCCTAACCCTAACCCTAACCCTAACCCTAACCCTAACCCTAACCCTAACCCTAACCCTAACCCTAACCCTAACCCTAACCCTAACCCTAACCCTAACCCTAACCCTAACAAACCCTAACCCTAACCCTAACCCTAACCCTACACCCTAACCCTAACCCTAACCCTAACCCTAACCCTAACCCTAACCCTAACCCTAACCCTAACCCTAAACCCTAACCCTAACCTAACCCTAACCCTAACCCTAACCCTAACCCTAACCCTAACCCTAACCCTAACCCTAAAACCCTAACCCTAACCCTAAACCCTAACCCTAACCCTAACCCTAACCCTAACCCTAACCCTAACCCTAACCCTAACCCTAACCCTAACCCTAACCCTAACCCTAACCCTAACCCTAACCCTAACCCTAACCCTAACCCTAACCCTAACCCTAACCCTAACCCTAACCCTAACCCTAACCCTAACCCTAACCCTAACCCTAACCCTAACCCTAACCCTAACCCTAACCCTAACCTAACCCTAACCCTAACCCTAACCCTAACCCTAACCCTAACCCTAACCCTAACCCTAACCCTAACCCTAACCCTAACCCTAACCCTAACCCTAACCCTAACCCTAACCCTAACCCTAACCCTAACCCTAACCCTAACCCTAACCCTAACCCTAACCCTAACCCTAACCCTAACCCTAACCCTAACCCTAACCCTAACCCTAACCCTAACCCTAACCCTAACCCTAACCCTAACCCTAACCCTAACCCTAACCCTAACCCTAACCCTAACCCTAACCCTAACCCTAACCCTAACCCTAACCCTAACCCTAACCCTAACCCTAACCCTAACCCTAACCCTAACCCTAACCCTAACCCTAACCCTAACCCTAACCCTAACCCTAACCCTAACCCTAACCCTAACCCTAACCCTAACCCTAACCCTAACCCTAACCCTAACCCTAACTAACCCTAAAACTAACCCTAACCCTAAAACTAACCCTAACCCTAAAACTAACCCTAAAACTAACCCTAAAACTAACCCTAAAACTAACCCTAAAACTAACCCTAAAACTAACCCTAACCCTAAAACTAACCCTAAAACTAACCCTAAAACTAACCCTAAAACTAACCCTAAAACTAACCCTAACCCTAACCCTAACCCTAACCCTAACCCTAACCCTAACCCTAAAACTAACCCTAACCCTAAAACTAACCCTAACCCTAAAACTAACCCTAACCCTAAAACTAACCCTAAAACTAACCCTAAAACTAACCCTAAAACTAACCCTAAAACTAAAACTAACCCTAAAACTAAAACTAACCCTAAAACTAAAACTAAAACTAACCCTAAAACTAAAACTAACCCTAAAACTAACCCTAAAACTAACCCTAACCCTAAAACTAACCCTAAAACTAACCCTAAAACTAACCCTAAAACTAACCCTAAAACTAACCCTAAAACTAACCCTAAAACTAACCCTAACCCTAAAACTAACCCTAAAACTAACCCTAAAACTAACCCTAAAACTAACACTAAAACTAACACTAACACTAAAACTAACACTAAAACTAAAACTAAAACTAAAACTAAAACTAAAACTAAAACTAAAACTAAAACTAAAACTAAAACTAAAATGCTATTAAAAAGGGTTGTTTTTTTTTTCCCCTGACTGCTATTCCTTCTTGGACCACAGGAGGGCATTGTTTTCTCCAGGGTTGCGGAACTGCCACAGAAGAATCTTAAAATGCCATCGAAAAGGTGTATTTCTTTTTGTGGCTGCGATACCTATTTTGACCACAGGACGGCACAATTTTCTGCACCTTAGCCATAACTTTCAAGTCACGGGACGGAAAACTGTGCCCTCGTGTGGCCAAAACAGGTATCGCGGCCGCAAAAAGAAATAAACCTTTTCGATGGCATTTTAAGATTCTTCTGTGTCGGCTCCGCAATCCTGGAGAAAACAGTGCCCTCCTGTGGTCCAAGAAGGAATAGCATAACAACCCTAAAACTCCATTTAAAAAGTTTCTTTCTTTTTGTGGCTGCGATACCTATTTTGACCACAGGACGGCACAATTTTCTGCACCTTAGCCATAACATTTTCAAGTCATGGGACGGAAAACTGTGCCCTCGTGTGGCCAAAACGGGTACTGCGGCTGCAAAAAGAAACCCTTTTAATGGGATTTTAAGGTTATTATCCTGTACCTTTATTATTAACGTCTTATTAATATTTATCAAAGCGACGGGAGGCCCCTTTGCTGCAACACAGGAACTGGAAAAGAAATCTCGCTTCAAAAGCCTTCACCGGAGTTAAGGAGGCCTGTGATGGCCTATCGATATTAATAAAGTTTTAATAATAAAGAATAACAACCCTAAAACTCCATTTAAAAAGTTTCTTTCTTTTGGTTGCTGCCATCCCTGCTTGGACCCTTAGGAAGAACGAAGGAAGTAGGAGGAGAGAGAGGAAGGAACAGAAGGGGAGAAGAAAGGTTGGAGTAAAGGTAAAGGTTTACCCAGAGCAGCCCTTAAAAAGTAAAAATGAAAAATGAAAGTTGAAAGGTCGTTTTTTACCAACGGCCATGGGGGTTGGACAGGAGACGGACGGAAAGTTGCGCTGACGCTGGGAAGGTCTCTCCGAGAAGCGCTGGTACAGAAAAAATCGGCGACCGTGCTTTTTCTGCCTGCTATTCCTTCTTGGACCACAGGAGGGCACTGTTTTGTCCAGGGTTGCGGAGCTGGCACAGAAGAATCTTAAAATGCCATCGAAAAGGTTTATTTCTTTTTGCGGCCGCGATACCTGTTTTCACCACATGACAAAAAGCCCTAGGATGTCCTCGATGTTCATACCATGAGACACAAAACTGTGCTGTCCTGTGGTAAAAGCAGGTATTGCAGCCTCAAAAATAAACCTTTTCAATGGGATTTCAAGGTTATTATTATTATCGCCTTGTTAATATTAATAGGGCAACGGGAGGCACGTTTCCTGCAACGCTGGAATGGGAAACCTGCTTCAAAAGCCTTTCATAATAAAGAATAATAACCTTAAAATGCCATTTAAAAAGTTTATTTCTTTTGCTGGCAGCTATACCTCCTTGGACCACGGGAGGGCAATGTTTTCTCTCCCTTAGCACAGCCATAGAGTACAAACAGGAAGTTGCCCGTGCCTGGAAGGTACCTCGGATAAGCACGGATACAGAAGACGGCAGCCATGCGGGAGAAGGGCAACGGAAGCGGTTTGTTCACTTAAGAGGAGCATAGAGTGGCAGTGCCTTTCCTGGCGCTCTGCGCTGAGGGGCTTCGCTTCTCGGCCTCCGAGATCCTGGGCGAAAGGCGGAAAGCGGGAGTGGCGGTTTATCCTTCGTTTTCTTTTCTCCCGAACAATAAAAAATAATTGTGCTTGGAAAGCATTTTTTTTCTTTTTTTTCCCTGTATACTTAGATAAATCCTTCCTTTTCCCGTTGGCTAATTGCTGCTGCCGGACCGCCTTCCCCCCCATGGGATTCAAGCAGTTCAAGCTGAATTGCGACCCTTTAACAGGCGATTACATAGGGATAGACCTCGACTTAGAAGCGTTCGTTTAGTAACTGTTTGCTTACAACGGCACTGAAAGACCTAGGACTTTTTCACAGACCCTTACGGCATCCCTGTGGTCATGTGATCATGCTTGGCAACTGCCGTGCATTTATGCCGGGCTCGTGTAATCCCCTTTTTATGTACAAAAATTAGAGCCTCGATTGTCATAAGTTGAGGAGTACCTGTACATTGGATATGGAAACAGGTGAGACTTATTGAAGGTCTTATGAACAAAATATTATGTAGGAAGTTGGCTAAGTGCCTTGCGCTACCATTTTCCCAGGGATGCAAAGAAGTAATCCCACATCTATTACTGATGCGTAAGTATGCTGCCTTTATTTTACCCTGTCTGAAATCTATATTGGTGCATCTCTCACTTGCGGGCTCATGCAGGGGACCATGCTGCAAGGCACTTTCGGAGAGGAAGTGGGGGACGGCTGTGGAGAATGGACAGGAAACTGGCCATGTGGGGAAGGTCATTCTGAAAGGAATTCAGGGTTGTCCCCAGAGGAAGACTTATTGCTTTCAATGGCACTTACGTATTTATTGATTTGAAATATTTTGTTGTGCCCTTGAAAGTTTAGAAAGCCAGCATTCACTGAGGTAGCAGACAAATCAAACAGAAAACGTAGCTCGATTGATAACAGAAATATTTCAATTGAGTTTTTGTCTTTTACAAAATGTTTTTAACTTTAATTTTCATATAAGAAAGAAAATGAATTTACAATCAAATACAGCTATATTTCATTTCCATATAACAAAGAGTTTTCTATTTGTTAATAAAACTGACAATGTACAAAATAAAGATCATCTAACCCCTAAAAATTATTTAAGAAGTTTAACCTTTTCTTTTAAAATTCTAAAGTTAGGATTGCTGCTGACTTTCTTCTTAAACAGGGCTAGGGTTTCCTCTTCAGATTTCTGATGGTCACCTGTGACTGCGTAATACTGAGCTATAACCTACAAAAGAAAAGGAAAAGATCATTCAAAGGTTTGATTCTGTTTTCAGTTCAGCCAATTTTCTAGATTGTCTCACAAACATTTTCCTTTGGAAATTGTGAGAAGCTTATCACGTGTGCAGATGTACACTTTTCCTTTTGCTTAACTATTGAAAATAATCTGCACCTACAACTTAACTTTAAAATGTGGGACCTGTTCATTTAATTATATTTTTCCCAATGCTTAAAACTTTGACCAAGCTGCTAGACTAAATCCAAAGTATTTATAGTTTTTAGGAAAATAATGGAAATTGTAGTTTTCACTATGCCTGGGGCTTAACAGCATTTCCGTTAATGGCTCTGAACTCTGCTGCTTCAGTAATTCTAGGCAGCTCACATACTGAATTATGTTAAGAAACAACATAATGGAACTTTGAAAAGACGACAAAAGCCAAAAACCAAGTAATACCTACAACCAATTCTGAGCAGCCTAAGAAGACAATATCTGCGCCTGCCCCATATCTAGATCTGTTAAAGCCAAACTACTATAGACGCCTTCTTTTCAAGCTTCTGATAGCATTTAATTCTCTCACTTTTATTAAAACTTGTTAATAAAATATATGATGTCCAAATTGCAGAGAAGTGTTTTATGGTAGTAAATGCAATTGTTTTTCCCACAAATGAAATACCAGAAATCATTGTAATGGTTTAGCTGGATAAACATGTTTTAAAGTTCATAATTTTGCAAAGTGTCCAGATTAAAAACAGTTGATATTTAGTGGCAGAAAAGATTGTTTTAAAGGAAATGCACAATGCCAATTAAAGGATACTGAATTGCACACAAGAGTCACTGAGCTCCACTGGATTTAAATTTTAAGGAGTTAGCCATAGGTCTACATTTTATTTAGACTGGGATAACACTGGGGTTTGTGCTCATATATTGGACAATCATTGTAACCTTGCCTTGGGGAGACAGTATCAGCAATTCTTTTCCATGAATGAACAGAAGAATTGTGATTTCAGATCTAATTAAATTTTCAAAGATGAAGTCAAAGCCATTTTTTAAGTAATAAAGTTTAAGCACAGAGCATACTGCAAATACGGCGGATCCCAGATCTGGGCGCTTTCCGCCGTGCCTTAAAGACGTTTTTGTTTCATCAAGCCGAGCTGACCTGACCTAACTTTTTTAATTTTTAAATTGTTTTAATTTTAAATTGTTAAATTATGGGTTTTAATATAGGGGTGTTTTAACTGTGGGCCAAATTAATTTAATTGGTTTTTAATTTTGTTTTAATTTTTGTACTTTCTGTATTTTATCTGCTGGCTGTTCACCGCCCCGAGTCCTTCGGGAGAAGGGCGGTATACAAATATAATAAACATAACAAAACAACATTGTTAAAATGTGGCTTGCTAGCCATTGGACCTTGATTTTCAATTCCGTGAAATAAATGATTACAAACAGTGTATTTATCACAGTAGTTTTTTTAAAAAAAGATGTCAACCAGTAAAATTGCTGAAATGCAACCCAAACTCATAGCATGCTAGAAGCACAACAATTTAGCAGTCCACTGTATTTTAAAGCACTTTTCTTTTAATTCAATAGTGCTCCCTCTTCAATTTTACATTCATAAAGTGATGCAACACACCTTTTTCCTTAGTTTCTTAATGGATAATTCATTGTCGGGTGCTTGCTTCAAAACAGCTCTTATTGTTCCTTTCCAGTTGAATTTACCTGTAGAATTGATAAAAATACTTTAAATGATCTCCTTACATTTTGACTTAAAATAGTGAAAGAAAGAAAGGAAGGAAGGAAGGAAGGAAGGAAGGAAGGAAGGAAGGAAGGAAGGAAGGAAGGAAGAACCAAACATAGCACTAAGTATTCTTTATAAATAAGTTTCTGCAATAACAAGCTTGGGCACTGAAAGCAGTACTTCATTTATACATTTATCTGTATGTGTATGCCTTCAAGTCAGTGTTGACTGCTAAAACTGTTTAGCCAATTCCAATTTTCTTTGCAAACCTCTTTTTCAGAAGTGGTTTGTCATTGCCTCCTCCTTACGGCCAAGAGATAGAACTTTGTTACCTAGCTGGCTTTGTGCCCAAGACAGAACTAGAACTCTGAGTTTCCTGGTTTCTAGCCTGGTGCCTAAAACATTAAGAATGACACCGCTTAAGGCTTTGGTTTGGCCAAAGGCAGCCTTGGGGATTACCATCTTGCTTGAAAAAATATCATAAATCATTTTAAAGTAATGTGGATGTCAGAAACCAATAGCACAGAGGGGAGAAGCATCAAATGTGTTTATTCATAAAGACTGCTATGCAGAAACACACACACACACACACACACACACGCTACCCGCCCCCCACTTGCAAAACTTATCCTATCCTTGTGGGGGCATCATTGAGTAAATTATTATATACACAACAATGTGAAATCACAGCTGTCAATTCTTTAGCTAATTTTGGCTTTCCAATGCATCAAATTCTCCCCAAGAACCCAGGATGGCATCTACATATTATTATGGTTCATCACTATTGTTTTTGAAAAAGAAAACACAAAAAAGGGGAAGAAAAAAGCAACCTCCCCACCCAAAAATGAATGCAGAGATTTACAAGCAACACAAAATTAGATAAGAATGTTAAATTTTCATTAATCTTAAATAACTAAAAAGTATGACACTTAAATCATTTTAAAATACAAGAAATTATTCTCAGTAATAATCATCATTGTGTCAATCAGAAAATATGTGATTAGGAATTATAGCAATTCCATTTGAATAATTGAAGATCAAACCTCATTTAACAAATCACTGAAACTCCATTTTGAAAGAACCCCAAATTTTGGATGTAGTGCAAGGTCACATACAATATAATAATCCAAAAATGGTTTCCACATTGACTTCATTTTAATGTCAGATTTACTTATGAAATATTAAGTTATTCTGGACTTCCCCAATTCAGTTAGCCATTCATCTGTCAAAGGGAATGATACAATACTTTCAATAGGACATGTAAAAATCTTTGCAGCAGTTACCCTGTGTAAAGCCAGTGTGTAAGTTTTAATACTGTTTAATAAAAAATAACATACTTGAAAAATAAATCTAGTTTTCACAATTTGTCTCATCTTATTAAAAATCATCCTGCCGCTCTGTAAGACCAAACCAACCCATCTCTTCAAAACGGTACCAACAAAGGAGTGCTTGGAAGAGGGACAGCCGAAGGGCGTTCTCACTTGCCTGCCTGCCTCCCTCCTTCCATTTGTCTAGAAGTAGTCAAGGCAGTTTCTCCTCAGAACACTGGCCTGAATCTAGCCTGGATTAGAGTCAAAATCTCTCTTCCAATACTTCTGGAAACCAAAAGGGAACACGGTGTCTTTCTACTGCCATCTTTGCCCATTTTGAACACTAAATTCTATATCAAAATTCCAGCTACTGATCAGCCTTTTATGGCAGGATACCTGTAAATCTGTTTTGAAAATAATACTAGTGCCTGTAAGATTTTCCATTATTATCATCATAATACACATTGATAAACCTCCAAATTACCTCGATGTTTATCTTTGTTTTCTTCCACTTCAAAGCAGTTCATTATTTTGGTGGGAATGGGAGACTCATCTGCATTATAGGGGAGCAGGGAGAGAAAAATCAAGAAATTTAAAAAAAAAAAATAGAAGGCTTTTTGTGGTGAGAACCACCATCATCATATTAAAATCTTGATAGTAGCTGAATCTGCTTTTCTCTTTACAAATATTTCATTACCCAATGTGGCAATTTCACTGAAATGTAACGTTTGCAAGGAAAAAGCCAAGCCCAGGAAACACTTAAGTCCCAACCTCTCAGCTCTGAGTTACACATTATTCTGGGTCTAATTCCAACCAAAAAAAAAAAAAAAAAGATACCTCCTGTTCCTTAATGTGATATAAGGGGGCATTCCCCAGGGCTGTTAATTTCACTAGCTTTCATTCCTCACATGAAAATTCTTTCAGTTCTGCTCCCTGCCTTTAAAGAGCCTATTTCATTTTCTTTCCCTGATAATTGTTTAATAGAAGAAGATAAATGGATTTTCTTGCAGGATTCTAAAAGAGCTTTTAAAATTAGGAAGAACGTGAAAAACACATTAGGACCTTTTGTGCAGCTGTTCTTGCGTTTCCTCACACGTGCCTCTGTCTCAGCTTCTTCTGATTCTGGGCCATTTCCCTTCCTTGGCCCTTTGACCAAGCCGGCTGCTTCTTGCTTTGCCTTCTTCAAATGATTACTCCGGGGCATTTTTATGCTGCCTTCCTCAAGAATGTCTTGCCTAGATTTTTCACTTTTTAAACATTCCAAGTTTTCTTGCAGAGCTTTTAACTTTCTGATACTTTTCTTCTCTTTTAATTCCTTTTTACTTTTTTTCTCTTTTGGTTTCTCAGTCTTTGTGATATTGTTTTCTGATACCACAGGCATAATTTCATTTTTTACAGATTGAGTTTCAAGTGTTTCCTGTTGGAGAATTGAGTGGATTATATATCACCATGACAAATCCAATATTATATTAGTACATTTGAAGTCTATTTCTTTTTATTACTCCTACTACACTTCTGTTGTTTCAATAGTTGAAGATCTCTAAATGAATTACAACTAAAACCATTCCAAAACAGAAAAATAGCAAAAAGAATAAAACGTACACACAAGAACAATATGGGTTTATATAACAATATAAAACATACTATTCCAACATGGAACAGGCACTTAAAATCAACTGATAACAAAGCAGCAAAAACATCTGAGGGAAATAAGTTTCACTGAAATTAAGATGAGTATTTCAAACAATGCATTTGAAAGGCAGAGTTTTGCATGACCACATGGCAGTATTTGATCTAGCCAAAGATACTGAACGTCACTCTTAAAGATTTTCTACACGGGCTACTGACATAACTTTCAACCGCAGATAGTTCACCAGTTCCCAGCTACCCTCCCTGTGTGGGAACAGCAGATAATCTATTGATGCTCAGTTTTCCGAGATTTGTTAAAACTAATTTTTGGCTTTGCTCAGATATTGAGAGGATGAGGGCCTTCAGGAATAGCCATTGAAAACCTTCCCTGACTGAATAAAGGAAACTAGGGTGCAGAGTGGATTTGATTTAAATCGAGTTGATTTAAATCACAATTTAAATCATGATTTAAATCACTAGTAAAAAGGCTTGATTTAAATCAACTCGATTTAAATCATAATTTTTAAAGAGCAACTGTCATCTCTGCTACTCCTTTGACCCACTGTTGACTCACCGATAGTCCCAGTGTTGCAGAATATACAGCCTCGTGCTACATAACTAAGCTCCATTTCATGCTGAATAAACTAAATTATGTATGTATCTTAAACAGAAAACTATCTTACGATAGATTTTTACCCCAAAAGTTTTTTATTAAAATAAATCCGATAAAAATCAAAAAAATCCGATTTAAATCAAAAAAATCTGATTTTTTTGATTTTTTAAAAAAAATCATTGATTTTTATCCACCCTGCTAGGGTGGCAGGATCCATGTTTTTCATTTACCAAAGAGCTTGCTAGAGAAAAAAAAATGTTTACCAACTATTTACATTATGTCTCTCTTATCAGATTTTCAAAGGCCAAATAGAAGAATTTTTATCTGGCTTGAATTCTTCTCAAATTTCAAGTGTATCTGGTCATAAAGCACATTATGTGATCGCATATCTTAACAGCAGCAATCATGGCACTTCCCACTGCCATTATTAAACAAAACCCACTGGTCATTAGGCAAGGACCCATCCTGAACCAAGGCCTCTCCCAGCCCAACCTTCCTCCTGCACTCCCACAATGGTGCTTATCACAATATATTCCAAATGCCGCAGTAACTGGTTTGCTTACCTTTCTTGTTGCTTCTGAAAAAATATCCCAGACTTGATCCTGTAGAGTAGTATTGTGGATTTTCAAACTGTTGGCCATCCAGTTCTATTTAGGCAGAAGGGGAAAAAACCCCTCTATTTAACCAGAACACAAATGTATTTTCTGACAAAAGTAGTAAATCAGCAGAAGGCCACAACTACCTGTTCTTAAACTATTTCTTCCAGAGTCTGTTAACAACCAAATGTACAGAATTTTCCAAATAGGCTGCTATAATTTTGCCATAGGCTTTAGCCCCTCAAGGGTACAGCAGTCGTGATTAGCGGCCAAAGTGGAACCGCATGTCCTTCTGACCATCCTGAGGTTGCCTGCAGTAGCATATCTGCTCCTTGACCCCAGACATGTTCACTGATGGGGCCAGGAGGGCTAAAGCAGTGGGATCACTAGGAGGCACAAATGTGTAATTAAATGGGGTTAAATAAGTAAAAAAAAATAGGGTCTCAGGGTTTTCAAATTATTTGGAAAACATGTGTTTTCCACAGTATAATTTAAGAAACACTGACCTTGTGGATTCTTTAAGAGAAACTCTGGTGGCTCAGCAGACTAATTAACATCCACTTACATCTGCTGCCTGCAATTACTGCAAGTTCAAATCTCACCAGGCTCAAGGTTGACTCAGCCTTCCATCCTTTCTAAGGTAGGTAAAATGAGGACCCAGATTATGGGGGCAATAAGCTGACTTTGTATAAATATACAAAAGTATGAAGGCTATTGCTTAACGCATTGTAAGCGGCCCTGAGTCTCTGGAGAAGGGCGGCATATAAATCAAATTTTAAAAAAAAAAAAAAAAGGTTACTTTTGCTTTAAGGAACCATAATAAAGAAAATCTACCCTATACCAGGTCAGGTTTGAGGCATAAATACTTAACTCATGAACATACCTGAAATTTGCGTTTCTTTCGTGGAATATTGTCGTATACATACATCTGTTGTAAAGTATCTCGAACTTTGACATTAATGTTAGTTTCCTTTATTATTTCATGAATCTTCTGCAAATGAAAAACAGGCTAATGTGACTGGGTAATACACCAGTAGAATGTTTTACATTTCCTATTGTCGCATTGAATTTTATATTGTGAATTGCTACAGGATTAAATAGTTAAAATACTGAAGTTCATGTAATAAATTGATATAACTCTACGCAAAGCATTAGATTACATTACTTAGTTTTATTTAATTTTACTTCGCCTTGGGTGTCATTATAGAAAGAGTGTGGTATAACAAATAAGTATGTTTTTTTTTTTAAATTAAATGGAGTTTGTGGTTTGCTAGGTTTACTTCACCTGAATCCACTCCTGCTGCTTGACGTCTCCTTTGAGGACTTTGGCTTCATAATTCTTTCCCCCATACTTCTGATCTTCACTTAGACACTTCACGTGGTATTTATAATCATCATCCCTGCATTGTAAATGCAGATTTAAATAACCCTTAATGGAAGGCATTTTCCAGAGCTCTTCCCAAAGATTTTACTGAAATATATTAAAGCAGCATAACTAATTTGAAAGACATTGGTAGGTCTAAGCTAGCTTTTCTCCCAACTGCTCCCCAAGAGTATGATTGGAAAAAATAATAATTGTTTTCTTATGCTGTGCAATGCTAGTTGGTGGAAATTTTTGCCTGCCTCCACTCAGCTGCTGGTCTGCTACCTTGCTGTAAATATTGCAAAATTTGGATTTTGCAGGTTAGAAATAAGTTATATTGTGAAGTACAAATATATTTTTGTTTTTATTCTGGAATCCCCTTGAGACCTGAAAATTATGTCAATGTTTTCTCCAGGGTAAAGAGGTTGGAAAAGGCTGGTCTTTGCAAAGAACTTGCTTGGCAGAAAGGCATTTAAAGGACCCCCTCCTCCTTACAGAATACTTCTTCACAGTGGACTGCCTGCCAACATTTTTTAATGCTGCCCAAATGCCAGGCAGGGGTTTGCTAGCAATGTTTCTCTGCAGCAACCCCTCCTACCTTACAGAGTGCTCTCCTCCTAGAGATTAGATAAGAACCTTCATCATTGCTGTTGGGAAGCAGCTGAAGACAATTACTTCCAGAGGGCCTTTGAGAACGAATGATCACCATTACACTTGCTTTGTAATTGCTTATAAATTTGCTGTTTTTTTCAGTGGTTAAACCTCCCCCCTCCCATTTTGGCTGAAATCCAGCAGTATACAAATGCAATATGCTGAAACTCAAGATCGTTTTCAAAGTAGAGATAATCAATTATCTAGGCTGACTTTAGGAAGTTTTAAATTTCTTCCCCTCCTCTTTCCAGATTTATCTTTTCTCAAAATAAATTATATTAACTCTCTTATTTCCTATCTCTTGTCAATTTTCCATACCTTGCCCACATTGGGCTCTATTAACCTTTTTGTTACTTTCCCAGATGTTCCTAGAGTTTTCTTCCCCTATAATCTGAGATACACCGGATGTTTATTTATTTTAGTTTAGCTGTTTCTGCTGTGGTTGTAAAGCCAATCATGCTGCTTGATAGTGATAAGCCATAGTTCCAATGCTTCTACTGTGTCCTTCAGGTCAGGCTGGATGTTGAAAAACTCTTTTTTTTTTTTTGACATCCCAGTCCGGCTCACAGTTCTGGAGCTCCCAGGCAGCACGCTAGCCAGTATTTTTAACTTTTGTGCTCAGACAAGGCTGGCCTGATGCTACAACTGCCAAAGCCTATTGAAAAGCTTCCCTAGAAGACTCCCAGTGCCAAATGATGAAGACACAGGCTGGTTTCAACCTACCAGAAATCCTTCCCGCAATCCATGCAAGACAGACACAGACAGTTTCGGCACATGTTCACATGCTTTTCCACCTGTCCCTTCTTCAGGGCTTCTCCGCAGGCATTACATGTGAAAAACACCATTCTGAAAAACTATATCTGTTTCTTCGAAGTCTGATTCACGGCTCTTCAACCAATCCTAGAAATACATTGAAAACAGAATTAACAATCTGATGTTGTATTTAATGTAGGATTAGAAATTCTATTCCAGAGAACAAAAACTATCCAAGCACAACATGATAAGAAAATTACTCTAGCTCGGAGCAGCCCACAAGGAACAACATCGCCACAGGAGCTGCCAGCAACTGTGTTTTTATTCTTGGCAACCACAAAGGGCGGCGGCGGCGGCGGCGGGAGAAGCAACGCTGCCCGAAAAGCAGTAGGAAGCCCCCCCCCCCCCCCCCACAGCCGGCCTCCGACGCTTATGCCCCCGCTTACACCACCACCACCACCACCACCACCACCACCACCCCGTCCTACCCCACCCGGAGGCCTCGCAGGGGCTGGGAGGCTCTTTCGGCCGTTGTCGGGGTCCCGCGGCGCCCCCCACCCCCTCCACCGCATGCCCTCATTAACCGCCCCAGCCCTGGCGGGGAAGAACTGGGCCTCAGCTGGGAAGGGGCCGCCCGGGGGAAAAACCCGCCAGTCGGAGCACGGACCGCTTTCGAATGAGGAGAGCCGCACCTCGCACGGCCGCTCAAACCGGACAAGCTCCGGACGGAAGCCGTCCTAGCGGAGAGTCCGTCGTGGGCAGGCAAAGAGGCACGTTCCGGCGGCGTTCACGAGGCGCATCGGACGTCCCGCTCTATGGTCACGCCGCCCGACTTCCGGCCAGGAGTGGCCGACGTCTTTTCGCAGCGGGGGGTGGTGGCTCCGTTTGGAAGCGTTCCCATGGCGTCGGTGCGCGGCTATTCTCCTACTCCTCGTCCCCCCACCGCGGGATCCTGCCCCGCCTGGCTGTGAGTCGTTTGCTGCGTTTTTCGGGCTTTCTTCCGCCGAGGCTCCGCTCCGCCAATAACCGAGGGAGCCCCCCCTCCTCCTCCCCGTTCCTCGGTGCTCGACCTGCTACGTGTGGCAAGGTTCCCAGCCGCCCTAGACCATCAGCCGCTTCTTCCGGGCCGGCTGACACGTGTCCCTGCGTGGTTGTGGGGATCCCCTCTGCTACCCTCCCGATGGAAATTACGCCGTTAGTTCCTAGGCTGCATCCCTTTTCTCCTTGCAGCGAGAGGCGCAGTTATGGCCGCTTCGTTCTTCCTTTGCCTTGCCTTCCCAGAATAGGGAAACGTTGACTTCATCTCGCCTATTATATAGGTAGTCCTCGACTTACGATCACAATTGAGCCCCCAGTTTTCTGTTGCTAAGCAAGATTGTTTTGTCCCATCTTTTTTCCCCCAGTTGTTCAGTGAATCATTGCAGGTGTTAAGTTAGTAACAAGGTTGTTAAATGAATCTGGCTTCCCCATTGACTTTGCTTGTCAGAAGAGCGCAAAAGGGGATCACGTGACCCCAGGACAATGCAACCGTATAAATGTGAGTCGGTCGCCAAGGGTGTGAAGTTTGATCATGTGACCACGGGGATGCTGTAATGGTCATAAGGGTGAGAAACGGTCATAAGTTGCTTTTTTCAATGATGATGTAACTGAACGGTTGCTAATTGAACTGTTGCAAGTCAAGGACTACCTGAAGTTCATTCAGCGCACTCTTGGAAGGTGTGTCTGAGGCTGTGTTATTTAATTCTCCATGAGCAGCTGGGCCTCTCCACGGCAGCCCCGTCACACACTCTGGTCTGTGGGAGGCACCTCTTGGCTTTTCCCCAGTTCAGTTTCTTTCCAAGAGTTTTCTTGATGTAGAGCCTTTCTTCCTTGGGGGTCTGTCAGTTGGCAGAGTGGCTGCAGCCTCATCTTTGGCTGCTTGGCCATAAACCCTTCGGACATATTTCATCTCGACTCTATGTCAACATAAAGTTCACCAGTGCCTCTAGTCGGGGGGGCGGGGGGGGAGATGGACTGGGCTTTAGCGAAGTTCTGGCACCCCCTGTCAAATGCCACCTTTGGATATTTGTGGCATTTTGTGGAACTGCTTTCACCCCTATAGTCCTGCCTAGGCTGCTGCTTGTGGCCTGGGTTCATTCCACTTCTATTGCTGCTAACTTGCATGTTTGCAAGCTGTTTCACTTACGCCACCGGTGGACATACTGTAAATAAATGAAATAGGCACAGGTAGTGTTCAGGTTACTTTGGCAATTGGTACCAGACTTGCCATTGCTAAGCGATGCTGTCATAAAGCACAATATCACATGACTGCATCGCTTAGTATTTGGAATCCCGGCAGTCTGGGTTGCTGTTGTAACCCTAGGGCTGCACAGATTATTATACAGAAGACAGGAGTAGCTGGGAAGCAGGCAGGGATCAATAGGAGTAATTTCCGATTCCCTAGGGGCTTCCCCATTGACGTTGCTCATGAAGAGCTGGCAGGAAACATGAGAAATTGCAATAATGTGACTACATTTTGTCCCACCCTCATAACTGCAAGCTGGAGACCATCAAAATGTTAGTCACTGAACTATTACCTGAGGACTACTGTAAAATAGTATTCTAATTATGAGATGCTTTTGAGAGACTTTAGGAAGATCAAGATATATTGTGTCTACTGTATGCCTTTAGTTTGTTAAGAAAGCTACCTAGTGAAAAAGTAAAATGGGGATCTTCTGGGAAACTTGCCACTGTGCTGTGATTTGGTTTGCATTTTTAAAAAATATAACATTTAATTCTTTTGCATAGAACAGCTCTGATGTATATGACTATAAAATTTAGCACATACTTACCAGTATAACTGCATCCCTAAAGTATTTCTTTTCTTTTTTAGGTAACATAGACACATTCTAGCATGGATGCTTTTGCTAATCACAGTTGTCACCTCCTTCAGCAGCTCCACAATCAGCGGATACAGGGTCTTCTCTGCGATTGTATGTTGGTGGTCAAAGGAGTTTCCTTCAAAGCACATAAAAATGTGTTGGCTGCTTTTAGCCAATATTTTAGGTATGTTAGTACAAAGTACTTTAATGAATATTAAGTAAGGCATGGGAGGCAGAAGTGTCATTAAGTTAACAAGAGTTATATATTTACAATCCTTATAGACTTCCTCAATAGGCAGGATTCTAGACAGCGCGCAGAAAGTGAAATGAAATTAGGAAAGCATGGCATAATGTTGCTCCTAAAAACTGTTAACATTATGAGTTAATATGGTACAAAAATTAAATTAAAGCTTTGTGTTCTGTTTCAAAATTAAGGAACTGAAATTTATATACAACACATGCTAAAAAAGATAAAATTATATTGCATAAAAATACTATGAGCAGTGCAAGGTCATAGTTAACTATGAAGTTATAGGATTGATAGGTGTTCACCTGCATGAATAGAAATAAGTGATTACTACCAATCTTAGTGCACAAAATGGTGAAAAGATTTTCTCTAGGTTGAAACGCAACAGTCATGCTTCGGACATTTGATTTGATTTGCCTTCTGATGGAACAAAGAACAACTCTGTTTTTTAGTGGAACAGAAACACAATCTACCATACTCTGTTGAGTGTTCTACCAGGGGGAACAGTGGAACATGAAAATTTTTTGCACTCTTGTTTTTCACTTTGAAGCTACTAAAATTGGGAAATGGTAGTTCATGCTGTTTTTTTTTTAATAATTTTTTTTAACAATGACACATTTGTTCTTAATTATGTTTTTGCAACAAGGTGAATCTGAGTGTAGTAAAGATGCACAGCATTGAGTTCGCTTAACTCAGCCTGTCATTAATAATGTAACAGTTCCAAAAAAATTACCTACCTTCTCTTGTGATTGGTTTGTGACTCCTCTTCCTAAGGCAGCCCACCTGCCTCCTTTTATATTTATCTGCCTGTCCACCCACTCAGACAAAGATCCTTTCAAGTCCATCTTGACTCAATGTCAGGTAGACACATCCATGTAGTTTGCCTGTCAACAGTTTGGGGAAGGCTTGCTCTCTCATCATCTAGAGCGATGGTCCAACTCCTAGCGTAGTGCACAGCCCTGTGATCCCCAAGTAATCCTCAATCCAAAGTCTAATCCTGCTCAGCTTCCAAGGTGAGGCAGGTGCTGCCAGTTGAGAACCTCAGAAGCATTTGCTCTGTGATAGAAACATGAAAAGGCTGAGAGAGAGAGAATTGGGATGATGAGAGCTCATTAGTGGTTTATTTGGGAAATAGCAGCTCAAAGAGACTGTGCTCTAATGAGTTGAGTAATATAGGTTGTCCTTGACTTATGACAGCAAGTGGGACAAGAATTTCTGTTGCTAAGTGATGTCATAAAGTATGATTTCATAGCAAAAGTAATAATCCCTGCAATCCTGTTTGTTAAAAACATGATTTGTTTTTATATTGTTCTTTTTGGTGGTTGTTGTCTAGGATCACTGTGCCATATGCATTTCTCAAAAGAATAAAAAATATCCTATTATATCCACTCTCTTTTGTAGAATGCGTGACATTTATAATAAAGTTTTGCAGAAATGCTTGCACTGAATAAGGAACAAAATCTAAAGCCCCAATCCCTGTATGTGTTAAACTGTTTTCTGAGATCTAGTGGTATCAGCTATGATTTGCTCTAATTGATGGTGTAAGTTGGTTACAAATTCCTTTACTAGCAGTGTGCATTCACGCTAGTTCTATAAATGTCTATGGAGATTCTCAGTCATCCAGATCATGGTTGTCCCAAAGGTGCTTTTTCAAGAGGCAACTAGACTTTAGGGTTTTTTTCTTTGAAGATATTTTGCTTCTCATCCAAAATGTTTTTTCAGTTCTGACTAACCAGTCCCTGGCCTGCAGGCTCCTCTGGGCTCTCCCTGCAAGGCCACAGAGCCACGTCTTGGATCCTTTTTGGAAGGAAAGTTGGGGTGGAGGGGCTGCTTTATCTCTGTGGAAGAATAATCCACAGGGTGGGGAGAAACAGCAGAGAAGGCTCTCTTCCTGAACTCTGCTAGTTGGAGCTCTTTAATTAACAAGGTCTCCAGCAGACCTTCCCTGCCCGACCGGGTGGGATGGGCCAATGTAATGGGATGCAATGTAATGTTAATGTCATAAAGGGGATTTGTGGATAAGCAGATGTGCCCCTTGTTTGTAATTCTGCTTTTCTTTCCAAGGACCCTGTTTCAAAATTCTCCAAGCCAGAAGAATGATGTTTTTCATTTGGATATTAAGAACGTGGGTGGCATTGGCCAGATCTTGGATTATATGTATACTTCACATCTTGACCTCAACCAGGATAATATACAGAACTTGCTTGATATCGCACAGTGCTTACAGGTGCAGAATATTTTGAATCTGTGTCAATCCTTTTTAAAAACCTCCCGATCTATAGAGCAGCCAGCCAGTCTGACCGGCAATGAAACATTTTCATTGCAAAATACTTTGGCTATTGATACCCACTGTGGACACTATGATGTACTCCACATTTGCTCAACTGCTGCTTGTAAAGTCTTGGATGACCAACAACCTGGGTCACAGCCTTGTGCACCTCATAACTCCTCAGCTGAGGGAGCCAAACCAAAACAAGACTCTGTGGGCCCTGGTGGGGCGGATCTGTCCTTTAAACTACCAAATGGCCATTATAAGCTTCGAAATTTTTATAGCAAACAGTTCTGCAAACAGACTATTTGTCCCAGCAACAAGGGGCTACTAGAAATGCCCCCTGATTTTGTAATATCTCCAGCACAAGAAACAGCTCAGGATGCTACTTTGTGCAACATAAACCAATGTACTTTGGAGTCATCTGATCGACCCCCCCTGCCACCAGCCTTTCTCGCCCAGTCCTTAAATGACTGTGCTGAGGATCAAGACACAGAGGGCGTGTCCATACAGCCAGCCAAACAGTTGAGGCCTAAGAAAGTCATCCACCTTCAAAAACTGAATTTGCTACAGTCCCAAAAGTCTCCTGAACAGTCGTCTGTATGCAATCCCGACAGAGCCGTTGCAAAAGGAAACGAATTAGGATGCCAGAGCAGCACAAAAAGGACGACCACAGTTGAGGTTCCTGAAGGAAAACATCCCAGCGGGCTAGTGAGTTCCGAATGTGTAGAATTGGAGCCATCCCAGGAGCCATCTGGGCCAGAGAGCCCGTTAAAGGTTTTCCTTCCAGAGAGGCAGTATCCTTGCGCATTATGTGGAAAGGTTTTTAAACATCCAAGCAACCTGGAGCTCCACGTAAGGTCCCATACAGGTACAGTCAGTTAACATGGCAGGCCAGCTATCGAGTGACCGCATGGAGAACCAGCCAGAATGTAGTCTTAGCAGCTGAAAAGGCAGCCATGGCCCAGAGAGGCTCTAGGGCCGCGATGATCACACAAGTCCTTCAAGCGGTAATCAGATTTCATGGCCCTCATCGAATAACCTCCATCCATGTGAATGTGCTTAAACATTCGTGTTTTTTCTCAGTAAAGGTATGCATGTCATTTTTCTGATAAGGGCCAGTCATAACACTTATAAAACAATTATTGCCTGGTTTCCTTGATAGAACTTTTTGCATTAAAAAATTACTCCACTTTGCCATAGTAGTTGATACATATTTCATCCGCTGCCATTTACAGCCATTTGGACGGGGAAAGAAAATGGTTTGTAAAAAAAGATTTTTTTCTCCTTTGACATTATGATCTTACTGTATCATAGAGACGTTAAAGTGCTTATAGAACCTGTTTACTCCAGTGACCAGAATTTTATTTGGGATCTATGCCACTAAATTGCAAATCCCAGCTTTATGGCATAGAATTTCAAAATAGCAATTTTGTATTCACTTACTATCAAGCTCTGTTAAACTATGTGTGACCTGCTCTTAGGTAAACATCATAGAATAATGTACAATTAAGCTAATTTTTCATTATTTATTTATTTAATCTAATTTTTATACCGCCCTTCTCCCGAAGGACTCAGGGCGGTGCACAGCCAAAGATAAAACAAGTACCCATATAAAATGTAAAAACAATTTAAAAATATTTTGTATTAATAAGACTTAAAACATTAAATCTTTTAAATACAAAATAGTATCAATCTGTGCATTAAGGGGAATTGTGGATATAAAATATGTTGAATATAAATGTCCTCTTGGTTATTTTTATGTTGACTTGAAGACAAGGGTCCATTTTGCCTTTTTATGTACATTCAATGTTACTTAGTTGTCAGAAGTGCAAATATAATTGCTTCTTCTTTTAGGTGAAAAGCCTTTTGAATGTAACATTTGTGGAAAATGTTTCTCACAGGTAGGAATTTTAATATTTTGTATAATATTCTTTTGTAATTAAGTTTATTTTTGTTTATATGCTACCTAGTCCCTTTCTATTGTACGCACTATGATTTTATGGCAATTCTACAAGAATCACAAAATAAGATAAACTATTTTAAAAAACATTTTTTATGAGAAAAAATAAAATAAACATAGTTTCTGTTCCCCGTGATTGGTGCTGCTAAGGAATCTTATCTTCCCTAAAGTGAACTTCAGAAATTTTTATGAATATTTACCATTTTCAGATATGAAAATAGTTCTGGATTCTGTATGTACATTTTGAGATAAAATGAATTCCTAATCCCTAAGTATTTGTCCTGTCATTGATTTTGATTCCAAATTTCTAATTGGAAACTTCTCGTTGTGCTTACTTGTGCAATGAATGATGGCATTGGACCGTATATTTCACTGAAAGTCTGTCAGAAAGTCAACTGGATAAGGAGAGGGTCCGTCACGCACACCTTTGGCTTTGCGGAATGTAGTTGTTGTTGTGTCCGACCCATCACGACCCCATGGACAATGTTCTTCCAGGCCTCTACCATCCTCTGGAGTCCATTTAAGCTCACGCCAACTGCTTCAGTGACTCCATCTAGCCAACTCGTTCTCTGCCGTCTTCTTTTGCCCCCAGTCTTTCCCAGCATTAGGCTCTTCTCCAGTGAGTCCTTCCTTCTCATTAGGTGGCCAAAGTATTTGAGTTTCCTCTTCAGGATCTGGCCTTCTAAAGAGCAGTCAAGGTTGATCTCTAGGACTGATCGGTATGATCGCCTTGCAGTCCAAGGGATTCACAGGAGTCTTCTCCAGCACCAGAGTTCAAAGGCCTCCATTCTTTGGACTTCTCAGCCTTTCTTACGGTCCAACTTTCACAGCCATCCATTGCAACTGAGAAAACCATGGCCTTGACTCTACGCACTTTTGTTGGCAGAGTGATGTCGCTGATTTTTAGTACGCTGTCTAGATTTGCCGTAGCTTTCCACCTTGGGAGCAAGTGTCTTTTAATTTCTTGGCTGCAGTCCTCATCTGCAGTGATCTTGGAGCCCAGGAAAATAAAATCTGTCACTACCTCCATCTCTTCCCCATCTATTTGCCAGGAATTGAGAGGGCCGGATGCCATGATCTTAGTTTTCTTAATGTTGAGTTTCAAGCCAACTTTTGCACTCTCCTCCTTCACCCGCATCAAGAGGCTCTTTAGTTCCTCTTCGCTTTCTGCCATTAAAGTGGTATCATCTGCATATCCGAGGTTGTTGATATTTCTCCCAGCAATCTTAATTCCAACTTTTGATTCATCTAGCCCCACCTTTCTCATGATGTGCTCTGCATATAAATTAAATAGGCAGGGTGACAGTATACAGCCTTGCTAGACTCCTTTCGCAATTTTGAACCAATCGGTGGTTCCGTGTCCAGTTCTCACTTGCTTCTTGACCCGCATATAGGTTTCTCAAGAGACAAGTAAGATGGTCCCATCTCTTTAAGAACGTGCCACAATTTGTTGTGATCCACACAATCAAAGGTTTTAGCATAGTCAATGAAGCAGAAGTAGATGTTTTTCTGGAACTCCCTAGCTTTCTCCATGATCCAACATATGTTGGCAATTTGATCTCTAGCTCTTCGAAATCCTGCCTGTACTTCTGGTAGTTCTCGATCTACATACTGCTGGAGCCTAGCTTGTAGGATTTTAAGCATCACTTTACTAGCATGTGAAATGAGTGCAATGGTGCGATAATTTGAACATTCTTTGGCATTGCCTTTCTTTGGAATTGGATTGTAAACTGACCTTTTCCCACTGTGGCCACTGTTGAGTTTTCCAAATTTGCTGGCAAATTGAGTGTAGCACTTTTACTGCATCATCTTTTAAGATTTTGAATAGCTCAGCTGGAATACTGTCACCTCCATTAGCTTTGTTGTTGGTCAGATTTCCTAAGGCCCATTTGACTTCACATTCTAGGATGTTTGGCTCGAGGTCAGTGACCACCCCATCTTGGTTACAAGGGACGTTAAGTTCCTTCTTGTATAGTTCTTCTGTGTAATTTTGCCACCTCTTCTTAATCTCTTCTGCCTCTGTTAGGTTCCTGCCATTTTGGTCCTTTATCATGCCCATCTGTGCATGAAACTTTCCCTTCATATCTCCAATTTTCTTGAAGAGATCTCTGGTCCTCCCTATTCTATTGTTTTCTTCGATTTCTATGCACTGTTCATTTAAAAAGGCATTCTTATCTCTTCTAGCTAGTCTCTCAAATTCTGCATTCAATTGGGTGTATTTTTTTTTCCCTGCTTCCCTCAGCTTCCCTTCTTTCCTCAGCTATTTGCAAAGCTTCCTCAGACAGCCATTTTGCTTTCTTGCGTTTCTTTTTCTTTGAGATAGTTTTGGTTGCTACCTCTTGTACAATGTTGCAAACCTCCGTCCTTGGTTCTTCAGGCACTCTTTCTATCAGATCTAATTCTTTAAATCGATTTGTCACCTCTACTATACTCTATTCATCAGGGATATGATTTAGTTCATACCTGAGTGGCCTAGTGCTTTTCCCTACTTTCTTCAATTTAAGCCTAAATTTTGGAATGAGAAGCTCATGATCTGACCCACAGTTAGCTCCTGGTCTTGTTTTTATTGACTGTATAGACTTCTCCATCTTTGCTGCAGAGCACATAGTCAATCTGATTTCTGTGTTGACCGTCTGGTGATGTCCATGTGTAGAGTCGTCTCTTGGGTTGTAGGAAAAGAGTGTTTGCTATGACCATCGTATTCTCGACAAAATTCTATCAGACTCTGCCCTGCTTCATTTTGTACTCCAAGGCCAAACTTGCCTGTTATTCCGGTTATCTTTTGGTTTCCTACTTTAGCATTCCAATCCCCCATGATGATAAGGACATCATTTTTTGTTATTAATTCTATAAGGTGCTGTAGGGCTTCATAGAACCAGTCAATTTCATCCTCTTCACTAGTGGTTGGGGCATAGACTTGGACTACTGTGATATTGAATGGTTTGCCTTGGATTCGAACTGAGATCATTCTGTCATTTTGGGGATTGTATCCCAGTATTGCTTTTCCTACTCTTTTATTGACTATGAAGGCTACGCCATTTCTTCTGAGGGATTCTTGCCCGCAGTAGTATACCTGATGGTCATCTGAATTAAATTCACCCATTCCTGTCCATTTTAGTTCGCTGATTCCTAAGATGTCGATGTTCAGTCTTGTCATCTCTTCTTTGACCAGGTCTAGCTTGCCTTGATTCATGGATCTTACATTCCAGGTTCCTATGGAGAAAAATCTTTACACCATCAGACTTCCCTTTCACCATCAGATGCATCCACAGCTGAGCGTCCTTTCGGCTTTGGCCCAGTGGCTTCACTCTTTCTGGCTACTAGTAGTACTAGCCCTCTGCTCTTCCCCAGTAGCATATTGGACACCTTCCGACCTGAGGGGCTCATCTTCCAGCGTCATATCTTTTTGCCTTTTGGTACTGTCCATGGGGTTTTCATAGCAAAGATACTGAAGTGAGTTGCCATTTCCTTCTCGTTTTGTCAGAACTCTCTGCTATGACCTGTCTGTCTCGGGTGGCCCTGCATGGCATAGCTCATAGCTTCATTGAGCTACGCAAGCCCCTTTGCCACAACAAGGCAGTAATCCATGAAGGGGCAATGTAGAGTTAAGTGTAAATATCTTAAAGTCTGTTCTGTCTTTAGCAAAAATGTAGGTTTGGATGCCGAGCACCGATGCCCTCTTGCTCTGCTGCCCTCTTGCTCTGGAGTTGCCCATTCCTGCTCCAGCAGCCGGTGAAGGGATAGGCTTTGGCCAAAGAAGTCACTTTGGACCCCCCTTTCCTAACAGCACAGCAGACTTGGGAACAAATGGGACATTGTGGTAGATCCTTCTACACAACTGAAATTGCCCTCTCCCAGTTTAGGCTGGTTCCAGTAGAGGAAACCTCTTTGTTCCATAGGAGAAAGACCTTGCCTCCATTTGGAAGTGCCTGCCTCGCGTGAGGGGGCTTTGTGTTCAGTCCATCTGCTGGTGCAGAGTGAAGTCTTTATAGTGCAGGTCTGATAAAGGGTTGAATTCTCTGCTTGTGCCTAAAAAATTCCCCTCCCTGTTTTCAGATATGACAATGGTACACGGTGTGTGTGTGTGTGTGTGTGTTGTTCTCATTTTTGAGTATCATTATTGACATAAGGAACTACTTGAAGATCTTCATTTCCAACTGTAAAATTCTCTGGTTAACATCCTTTTATTGAAAACGTTTCCTTATCTTTGTAGGCAGGGAATCTTCAGACTCACTTGCGTCGCCATTCTGGTGAAAAACCATTCATTTGTGAAATCTGCGGGAAGAGGTTGGTATGTCTGTGAAATTCATACATATGATATGCATTTATATCTATTAGTCATATATGTAGAGATTTACTATTCACCGTCCTCCAAGACAACACATCCCAGAAGATCGGTTGGCTAATATACCTAAATGGAAAGGTTCTGGGTCTCTTAAATTTCTTCCAACTAGATTGAGAATGCAAGAATGCAAAATAGGATCCATTTTTTTATTTTAAAAGGATTGCACAAACCATAAGTATCTAGTTATAACAAACTATGTTTGTTCTATCTAGTTCTATCTAGTTCAATCTAGTTATAACAAACTCTAGTTATAACAAGGCAAACAGTGTATCGGAGAACTGGAGGTGTGCATCTATATTGTATCTCATGCTGAGGGAAACTGTTTTGGCCAGCATGAAAATACTTCCATCGCTGAAGGGTGGCTGCCTACCTAACTTTTCATTAGTCAGGGGTAGGTGTGTGTCAACACCACAGTAGAAACACAACAGCAAACGAAGCTGTGGCCAGAACAACTTCACAAAGTGGGAAATGGCAAGGTGAGACCTGACTTGCAAGTTTTTGAAAACTATTACAATAGTTTTTGATATGCTTCTCTCCTAAAATAAGGCTTATCCCAGAGCAGAGAGCTTTTGCTTCTAAAGCTATCTGTTGACTGAAGAGTCATACATGGTTTGTTAATCTGTTTTTAATCAATTATGAATTTAAATTATTTTTCAAGTTGTAAATGTTCAGCAAAGTTCATTATTTTTTAATATTATTTTTAGCCTTTTCCTCATGGTGCCATCTATGAGATCCATGGTGCTGTCCAGCTAGCTTAACTTTCATGCTGAATAGAAAACTAGAGATATAAATATATATTTGATATAAATGTAGATAAACATTTTAGTTGGATGTGAAACACATTCCTGAGTTTCTACAAAAAGGACACTTTTTCAACATAATAGCAATAGCCCTTAGACTTATATATCGCTTCATAGTGCTTTACAGCCCTCTCTAAGTGGTTTACAGAGTCAGCCTCTTGCCCCCCACAACCTGGGTCCTTGTTTTACCGACCTCGGAAGGACGGAAGGCTGAGTCAACCTTGAGCCTGGTGAGATTCGATCTGCCAAACTGCTGGCAGCCGGTGATCAGCAGAAATAGCCTGCAGTACTGCACTCTAACCACTGCGCCACCGTGGCTCTTGCGTTAGATTGCTTTTTGCTTTTCACCATCTTGCCTTTCAAAATGTTTCGTTATAATTTCCTAGTAGCGCAGCAAACAGGCCTGATTCGTACATGTAACTCTGCAGCCAGAGTCAGAAGGAAGTGGGTGGCACAGCACGGCAACCCTCGATGGCCTTTTTGTGGCTGGAGTTCTGGGGAGTGTTGGTGATGCCTGGGACCAGGCAGGCGGTGTCAGGGAGGGATGGGAAGGTGGGCTGCTTCCTCTGGAGGGAGGCCTGCCTGCCAGGGACATGATGCAGTCAAGGCAGGATAGTACAGAAAGTGCTTATTGAAGCACTCACAGTGGCTTTGATGATGGTGTTACAGGTTTGCTGCTTCTGGAGATGTCCAGCGCCACATTATTATTCACTCTGGAGAAAAACCGCATCTGTGTGATATTTGTGGTCGAGGTAGGTCTGGTTAAACTTCCCTAGACGAGCAAGCCAAGCTGTACAGTAGTGGCCAAAATTGTGGAAACCTTTTGGGGAAAATGTATTTTTGAGGTTTGATGGCTAATAAACCCCTTTTTTTTTCTCTTGGAGTTTCAAGGTAATCCTATTCCATTGCTGGAATGGCCTGGGAATAGCCCATACCTTAACCAATTGAAAATCTATGGAGCCGACTAAAGAAACTTGTTAGTCAGAAGCGACCCAGCAATAAAACTCAGTTAATAGAAGCAATCATTCAATCTTGGCTTCACATGATAACAGCTGCAGAAGTTAAAAAACTTGATTCACTCCATGGGAAGACGTTGTAAGGCCATAATTCATGCTAAAGGTTACCCAACTATTAACTGACATGGAGATAATTTTTGTGTATCTAATTTTTTCTACATGTTTCACTTTTCTTCTTTATACTGTAACTGCTATTCTAATAGCAAATCCTTCATAAAAGTTATTGCAATACATTCTTGATTAAATTATCTTTCCATTGATATATAATTTTATGGTACTACAAAAAAAGTGGTGTTATTAGCTAGTTTTAGAAAATACACTTTTCCCAAAAGGTTTCCACAATTTTGTTACTACTGTAATCCAGGGGTGGGTTCTACTTACCTTTACTTCCGGTTCGCAACAGGAAAGCGCGTGTGCTCTCACTTCGCTTGCGCACCTTGCTTCTGCACATGCGCAGATTGCCGATGATGACATCTGGGGCAATGGGCGGGGCCTCCCGCCGGTTTTACTATTGATTCTTGCAAACCGGTCCGAACCGGGGACAACCCACCACTGCTATAATCCCAGCATGTGCCCTTTCCCCACTAGGCCTTGTTTAGGTGCCGGCACCATCCAGCTGGGGTTCCAAAAGCAGCCAGGTGGCTATGGCCAGAAAAAGCAGCAGCCCAAGGGCACTGGTTGCATGCTGATGCCCCCTTGTCGGTCAGGAGTTAATGGCAGGAGGTTTCATCCTTGCATGCTCAGGTCCTGTCTTTGGCCTCAGCTCTGGTGTCTGGGGTGGCACGGGGCACCGATTTTTAAAGGCAGCAGGGCTCTTTTGTAATTTATGTCACCCTGTGAGTGATCATTCTGATTCAAATTCTCTTACGTTTAGGTTTTAGTAACTTCAGTAATTTAAAGGAACATAAGAAGAACCATGCAGCAGAAAAAGTATTCACATGTGACGAGTGTGGGAAATCATTTAACTTACCACGGAAATTAGTAAAACACAGGATCAGACACACAGGAGAAAAGCCATATAATTGTTCAGTCTGTGGTAAGTCAGAAGGTTGTTTTACTGATCTGGTATGGAAAGTTCCACTAAAAATGCTAATCTTTTCATTGTTCAATTGTACCTTTAGAGCACATATGAAAATAATGAAAATTCAGCAGATATGGTATTGATCACTCAAACAAATTAATAATGGCAAATTATTTCCCCTCCTCATCAAATGAAGAATTAACAGGCAATATGTTTTATAGTCGTAATATAGACTTCAAGAAGATTCAATGATATTACAACATTTCAAAATAGTATTATTAAAGATTTTAATAAAAGTAGAAGCAAAAATCGAAAAACTGAAAGAGAAAGAAAACGTATGGAAAAAAGAAAATATCTCCAGAAGTAACTTCTGATCTTTTATAACTACAAGCAAGTTGTATATTTTTCGGCCCTCTTGGATATTACCTTTCCTGAATCCCTTCTTCCTATATCTCAATCCTTACCCATCCGAGTTGAAGAAGCTTCTTGGATGAAAAATGAAATGTCTTCAAAGAAAAACCAGAAAGTCCAGTTGCCTCTTGAAAAAAGCACCTTTGGGACCTTACCCGTCCGCAAATCTACAATTCATTAATGTTTCTGTCTAATATCAGCAAACAGTCTATAAAGGGTTGCCAGAATTTTGTAAAAGTATTTCTGGTTTTAACCCTGATCCAACAGATAAACTTCATATTCCTTTCTTTTGCTCTTAACGTTCTTAATCTTTGCTCTGATAAGATGCTTTTGTAGGATTTAATTTGCACACAAGTTTTCTTTCTCCCGTTTCCTTGTGGCTTTCTAACCCTCTTTTGTAAATCCAAGTGAGTCATTCTTACTGTCTGGATTTCCAGTTTAGTTTTCACATTTGTCCACTAAAATAGCCCAATATTTTATTTTCCAGTACTTCTGCATAAGCTGGGGTTTGTTCTATTTGTTTATCCTGTCAGCCTATAAATTCTTCTAAATGCTTCTCCTTTGCATCTTTCAGTTCTTTAAAGTCTCTGTTAAATAACACCTTTTCAGGAGCAGATGTTGCTGCTGTCATTGTATCTTCAAGCTTCTTTCCAATTCTTCAAAAATCCTTTGAAATGTCTCCAATGTAACACCTTTATCTGGCAGTTTTTCACTAAAACGTCCTCGTGTCTTTGTCTCTTAGTTGGACTAGTGTAATTTGCTTTCCCCGCAAGGAACCCCCTGGCTCAAAACGAGGGAAGTTTGGTAGAAGCACAGATGCAAGAGTGGGAAGGACTCTTAAAGGTTGTCTGGTTTAAGCCCAGCCACGAAGGAGCCATTAGGGATTCTCCAGCAGAGAACCTCCCAGCTTCTCTTGAAAGAATTCTCGCCGAGGAGAACCCTCGGCTTCGCACACCGGCCTCTTCCGTTAGCTGATTGCTTACACAGTCAAGCAGCCCCTCCTGATATGTAGCCTTCCTTGCAGTTTTAACCTACTGGATCTGATCTGCCCACTGGGCTAATTGAGAACAAGTCTGCTTTTGATGCATAGGCGCACATAACAACAAACCACATTAATTAAAACCTAGTAATTTTAGAATTAAAACACTGATCTTTGTTGAAAGAACAATAAATATCTTATTTTACAGGAAAATGTTTTGCGGGATCCGGAGATTTGCAAAGACATATCAGAACACATACTGGGGAAAAGCCGTATCGCTGTGAGACCTGCAATAAATGTTTCAGCCGTTCTGCTGTCTTACGTCGACACAAAAAAACCCACTGTAAAGCTAACAGTGAAAGTGCAGCTATTGTAGATGAGTTTTCTCATGCAATGGAAATTCCTGACCTCGAGAAGTCCCAATGTTCAGATTTGTTTACCCAGGAAATCTCAGTATCCTTCCTGTTGCCATCAGAGAAATGCCCACCCCGCTCGAGGGGGCATTCACCAAATGAGTTTGGACCCCCGGGAGCACCATTTGGCACGGCAAGGCCTGGAGTGGGAAAAGACGCTCAGAAACTGAGTTTGGATCCTGCCAAACTCTGTAAATCTCCAGAAGGACAGACTCAGTCTTGTACTTTTAAAGAAAGCCATCCCTCCTCTGAGGAGGGACCACTGCAGTCTGGCACTCTGCCCTCTGCACGTGCTCTGGGCAGCGGCTGGAACGGGGAGCCCCTGCGCAGCCGTGTGGCTCCTGCCAAGCCTCGAAATAACGAGGGGCCCTTCTCTAGCATGGCACTCTGGGGCCTAACCATGAAGTCTTTGCAGAATGAGAGCGAGCTGGGCCAATGAGGCTTGGCCCTCCTGAAGAGCAGCGTATCGATTTGTAAGTAAATAAAACCATATCAAAGTTGTACTTGACTGAATTGTTGCCTAGAGACTTATATTTCTTTTTAAAATTCATTATTCACCTATAGGTTGCCTCAGTCATGTCTGAATTTACCTGCATAACCCCATTTCCATAATGAGTGAGGGTTTAAAACACGACAAACCAGCAATACCGAAATAATAGGGCTGGTGATATTTTGGGTTGCTATTAATAACCAACAATCCTAATGCCTTGATTTATTAAAAACAAGCGCTCAGTGTTGTGGAAGTTCAGCCCATTTCCTTCCCGTTGGTTCCTCTGATCACCAAGGGTGAATCTTTCAAGGAAACTTGGGCCATAAGGGCAGCAGCCCACCCTCCAGCAGAAGATAGATAACATCTGGGCCGGGAAGGCTGCCCATCAAGGGAGCCCATCCCAGTGAACAGGGGATCCAGCTACCCCGATTTCAGAGGGGGGCCAGTCGCCGTCAGCCCCGCTGCCTCGGGGAGGGGGGAGACGGGGGCCGGGCAGCTGCAGGGGGGGAGGGAGAGCCCGACTGCGCTGGGTGAGGCAGCTGGGCAGAATTTGCGGGCACTGAGCAGGGACGGGCTGCCGAGCCCCAGCAGGTGCGTCGCCCGAGGCAGGTCAGCGGCCGCTCTCCACCCGCGCCGCCTCCTGCCGCAGCCCCGGCCGAGGGTGGTGCTCCCGGCTGGGCGGGGGAGGCGACGGCCACGCGCGGCTGCGTCACTCCGGTGCTGCTGCTGCCGCCCGCGCGGAAGGGGAGGCGCTGGGCTCGGGAGGCAGAGCGGCGGAGGGGCTCGCGAGAAGCCGGCGGGGCAGCGGCAGCGGCAGCAGCAGCAGCAGCAGCAGCGGAGGACGAGGCGGGGGCCGAGCAGGTAGGTCTCCCCGGGCCGGGCGGGGGTCGGAGCTGGGGCTGTGCCGAGCCTCGCCTGACGGCGGCCCTTTGCAGGCTCCTCTTCTTCGCGAGGGAAGGATGGTGAAGCTGGGCGGCCCTTTCGGCGAGAAGCGCGGCAAGCCGGCCCCGGCGGAGGACGGCTTCGATACCATCCCTCTGATCACCCCGCTGGACGTCGGGCAGCTCCAGTTCCCGCCGCCGGACAAGGTACAGAGCGGCAGCGCCGCGGGGAGCCTCCGCCCGGGCTGCCTCGGGTCTCTGGCCTGGAGGGAGGCGGGAGGCCGGAGCATCCCCGCCGCGAAGGGCTTCGGCTCGCCTGCCGGCCTCCTCCCGCCCTGCGCCGCTTGCGCCTCTCGAGGGCGGCCCGGGTGCGCGGCGATGCCGGACGCGGAACCCTTCCGGCCACGGAGCGCTGCCTTCCTTGGAGCCCAGGCAGGCATCCCCGGTGGGAGGCGGCGGCGCGCTCCTTCCCGGGGAACCGAGGGGGGTGGGTTCCGTCCGCCCTCGGCCCAGCGCCCTTCGCAGGGAAACCCGGACCCATAACGGCAAAACCAGATTCCCCCCCCCCCCTTTTTTTTTTTTTTTTTAAATCTCCCCTGGAAGAGTTTCCCCGCGGTGACTTTTCTGGAGAGAGTTCAGTGCGAAGCAGGCTTCTTTAAAAAAAAAAAAAAGGCTCTTTTTTATTACATGGTTGAATATTTTTACATTTGTATCTGCAGTTGTTGTACTGTTCTTATTTCCATGTCAATTGTCCAGCGACCGCATCAAAAGAATAATTATACATTTAAAATCAATACTGCTGGGGAGTAAATTCAGAATTGGCGATGGGCTGTTTTAATCCGCTTGCAAAGGAAACCTGCAGATTTGGGGGCTGAAATGGTGAACAGGAATCGCGGAGAAAGGCTGTTGTAAGGGGAGACGGCGGCTCTTTGTTCGCGCCTGGCGGAGAGGCTTTGTTCCTCCCTGGGTGTGGCCTCCGCCTATCCCTGGCTTACTACTCCGCTAGTACCGTATGCACTTGGATGCTCCTTGGATGCAGAAGGGGGACGAGAAAGACTCTCGATCTCCGTTTATTTCTCCGTGAAATAAACAGTATGATAGGAATAATCTGGAGAGAGACGCTTTGTTTCCTGTGAACTTTAATGAGCTTAAATAAGTGGTAAGGCTTTCGCATAAGTGCTGTCTTCCCTTTCAGATCAGAAACTACCAAGTAATTAAATCAACACCCCTGTATCAAGGATACCATAAGCTCATTTTAGTTCTTCATTTCTGAGGATCCTAGTCTTGTGGTGCTCGAAGAGGCACTTAGAAGCCAGAATCCAACTGTTTCTTAAGAATACGGAGTAAAGGAACCAGAACCAAAAAGGTTCTTTTAGTTTGGGAAGGTTCTAGTTCTATTGTTGAGAAGTTCGTCTGCAGATTTGGGAAGCATCTCGCTTCAAGTCATTCATAAAAATATTGAGGAACATGAGGTCCAGGACTGAAGCTCCTCAGTCCAATCTGGAAGGAAGAATTGATGAGAACTCTTGAGGGCAGTTTCCAAGGCAGCTGCGTATGCTACCGGACCACATTTAGCTAGCTGCTCAGAATGTCACGGAGCACTTTAACAAATGATCTGCTGAAATTAAGATATATTATGATATTATTAAGGTATATATATTCCCACAATCTAATAGGAAAGTCATCCAAGCAACACGAGACATCACACGTCTGTCACACGTTGTTGACCTCTTGTAATTACAGCATTGTTTTTAAGTTGCTAACAGTTTTATGATTTGTTTGAACCCTAACCCTAACTCTTTCTATTAATATCAGATTCTCTGGAACCTATTATTATCTAGTTCTAAAAATAAGGACGTTTATTTCCTCCAATTACCTAGCATTTAATTGTTTCTCCAATGTTTCTTACAAATAAGATACAAATGTTTGGTAAGATTTTAAGCTAGTTCCTTCAGTATTCCAAGATGCAGTTTATCAGACTCTGGAGTTTTAAAGCTGATCATTGTAAATAGCAACTCCAACTAATTTCTGTCAGTCTCAAGATTCATTCTACATTTTGCATTTGTCTTGTAAAACTTGCAGCCTATGTTAGAGAAGACTGAACTAAAAGCATTTATCATCTTCATTGAGCAGCTTCATTAACTGATTTTCTCTTCTCATGTTGTTAAACATGTCTAAAGCCCGTTATTGTTGTCATAGCAACCCCCCTGCCAAACCCCCTCCTTCTGAACTTTCCTGCCACCCTCCTTACAGTTGCAAGATACCTCTTACTCACTTGTTCTTTTCCACTTGCCCTCTTTCCACTTTGCATATGTAGATGTTGTTTTCACTCTATAATGTTCATATATTGTGATTTAAATTAAATAATTGTTTTTATCCTCCTGAGTATTGGCTATTCCTGCTAGCTTAGCGTCATCAAATTTGCAGATGACACTAAACTAGCAGGAATAGCCAACAACCTCACAAGAAAAGCTCAGGATCCAGAAAGATCTTGACAGACTTGAACAATGGGCCCTATCCAACAACATGAAATTTAATGTAGAGAAAGGCAAGGTTTTATACCTAGGCAGGAAAAACCAAAATATAAGTAGATGAAATCTGGCTCAAAAACAGCAACTGTGAGGGAGACCTTGGAGTGCCAGTGGATGATTACTTAAACATGAGCCAGCAGTGTGTAGCAGCAGCCAAAAAAGCTAAAAAAACTATACAATCCTTGGTTGTATAGTATAGCCTTTATTGTCATTGTACATCATATATACAATGAAATTGGTTTAGCCTCTCTGGTGCAATCCATAACAGAAAATACAAAACAACAAATAGTATAGAGAATAATCCCTATACAAGTAAAAGACTCGTCATAAATTTCAGTATGTGCATGAAGTGATTGTGATTGCGTTTAAGAGTCTGACAGCCCATGGGTAGAAGCTGTTTTTAAACCTGTTTGTCCAGCTGGCTATGCTTCGATGTCTTCTGCCCAATGGTAGAAGTGAAAAGAGACACTGGCCAGGGTGTGAATCATCCCTAAGTATCTTCCTTATTCTGCTGAAACAGCGAGACCTGGCGATGTCATCTAGTGGTGTTAGAGAGCAACCGATGGTTTCTTCTGCCTAATTGATCACTCTCTGTAGTGCCTTCCTGTCCACAGCTGTTAGACTAGCATACCATACTGTTATATAGTATGTGAGGACGCTTTCTATCGTAGACAGATAGAAAGAAGTCATCAGCCATTGTTCCACCTGATTTTTTCCGCAGGACTCTAAGGAAATAAAGTCTCTGTTGAGCCTTTGTATAAACAAAGGCATAGAATCAAAATCACGTGATGTATTAGTACCACTTTATAAAGCCTTAGTAAGACCACACTTGGAATACCGCATCCAGTTTTAGTCACCACATTACAAAAAAGATGTTGAGACTTTGGAAAAAGTGTAGAGAAGAGCAACTAAGATGGTTAAACTTAGTTGGAAACTATGAAGAACGGTTGCAGAATTTGGATATGGCCAGTCTAGAGGAAAGAAGGACTGGGGGGGGCGGGGGGGGACACGACATGACAGCAGTTTTCCAGTATTTGAGGGGCTGTCACTAGAGGAGGGGATTAACTTATTTTCCAAAGCACCAGAAGGCAAAACAAGAAATAATGGATGGAAAGTAATCAAGGAGAGAAGCAGCCTGGAATTAAGGAGAAATTTCCTGACAGTGAGGACAATTACGGTAACCAGTGGAGTAGAAGTTGCCTTCAGAAGTTGTGGGTGCTCCATCACTGGAGGTTTTTAAGAAGAGACTGGACAGTCACTTGTCTGAAATGTTTACAGGGTCTCCTGCTAGAGGAAGGGGTTGCGCTAGAAGACTTCCAAGATCCCTTCCTATTAAGGGAAGGGAAGCTCTATTAAGTTGAATTCTGATTGAATTGGCCTCATGTTGTTCTTTCTTTTGCCCCATTTCACTGCTCAGAAGAGGCTAAATATGACCCCAGTTGAAGAAGCTTGCACACTCCTGGTTTAACTGTCATATCTAGAGTCATTTCTTCAGTTAATGCTGCTGTTATTCTCTATCCTATTTTTGTTCAGCCTTTCCTAACAAAAGGGTATGTCTTTTACTAGACATAAGTATCCAAAGGGTGTATGTTTTACTGCTCTAAAGGCCATTTACAATTGATCAAGAGTTTTGGAACCCAGGCTTGAAAATTAGAATCGCACCTGAGGGCCGTGGATCAGGATCAGTCAAGGACTAGTTTTATGTGGTGCCAATTTGCCCAGTGGGATACAGGAAATTGCTACCTCCTTTTTAATTAGGCTTCAGGTAGTCCTCACTTTACAAGCATTTGTTTAAAGACCACATATTAATTTACAAAATAATTATAAATCCAAAGCTGATTAGAAAATAAGGTGGTTGAACCCAATGTCCTTAAAATGCCCTTTCTAGTCTTCTTTCATGGAAAAGCATTTCCTGGCAGACTCTGCAGCTTGCGCCCAGGGAGAAAATCACAGAGAATTATTTAAATCCCGACATTTATGTTTTGTCTGCTTGAAAGGACAAAATAAACCAAATGGGGATCCTTTGTGCGCTCTTGGCCATGGCATAGGATTGTCACTTCCAACTTCTTTATTCTGTGGCTCATGACCAAAAGCTGCATGCAAATCACAAGCTAAAGAACAGGCAGATGCAGTTGTGGTGAGGCAGTAATGTGCTGGTAATGGCTCCTTTGTTGGTGTTCATTGAAAAGGTGGTGGTGAAGACAAAAACGGAATATGAACCCGATCGAAAGAAAGGGAAATTTCGTTCTCCCCGAATTGCAGAATTCACAGTCAGTATCACTCAAGGCATCTCAGAACGTTTCAAGGTAAGCCATATCAGCTCATTTTCAAGCATGAAAAAATGAATGTTACGTTTATCTCGCTTCAAAATACTAGCAGATATTAAATTAAATAATTGCCACAGGAAAACTGAAGAATTAAGGTAAAGGTATGCAGTACTTCCTTGCAGAATCCTTTAAGCCTTAAGGGACTGAAGTTTAACGTATTACACACACACACACACACACACACACACGTTAACCTCAGTGAAAGTGATGGGAACTGCTAGAACTGTATTTGTATGGAAACAGTTTCACCTGTGCTAAACATGTGCTAGAGGTGAACTTTCCAAATCTCTGATCCATAGTTTCCATATTAACTAATTTATCTACTTTCTCAATTTCCTTCTTTATCTATTCTTTTCCAGTGATCATATAGATTAAATAGTCGTAAATGTTTAGGGTTGAGCATCATAAATTTACTGATGACATTACATCAGGGATTTAACTTGAATCGAAAGAATGGCAGTGCTTTGGGGTAAGACTGGCCTTGTTTCACTTATAATCAAAACTGACCAATACAAGGAATCCTGTATGTGGCCCCTGTGGGACAGATAATGACCATCGCATATGGAAAGTTGTGACACTCCTTGAGTAACGGAGACATGTTAAAATACAGATATGGTTTTTTTTATGTAATGGCATGTGAGAAAGACCTTAGGGGACGGAGTGAAGAAATATTGCCTAGGGAACAGTCAGAAAAGAGAGGGCCTAGCTTGCAGCTGCCTCACGGGTGGAAAAAGAGACTCAGAAGGACCCCTCCCTAGCTTTTCCAGCTGTAAAGAAATAACAGGAGATTTGTATTTTCGGATTTGCAAGATGCCGTTAAGGTAGCCTTACAATAAAGTAGAATGAGCTCATCTGGTTGTGTTTCCTGCCTGGTCTACTTGGGAAGGCTGATAGCTTATAGAATAGCTATGCCAATAGAAGAAACTATTTGTAGCTCACGGTTGAATTGTGGGATCCTTGATGCTCTCTCTGAGCTTGGTTGTTTTTTTGTAGATGTTTCATGACCCAGAAGTTGCTAGAAGTTAGTGGATTTGGCTCTGAGGAGGTTCCCTAGTTGGGTCATGAAACATCTGCAAGAGAACCACCAAGCTCAAGGACCCTGTAGCTATGCCACTTGCTTAGCCCATAGGAAGACTGCCCAACAGTGCCCAAGAGTTGGAAGAAGGCTGCTCTTCTGCTACAACAAGGGGAAGAGTGAATGTAAAGACTGCAGAGGGCTCTGCCTCTAAACTGACTGGCTGAATTCTAACCAGAAGAAACTGAGAGGGAGCAGGCAGGGGGACACACATTGAGGAAGGCCCCTGCGGCGGCAGCTTTATTATCAGGGAAGAAGAGTTTTCTGTTCAGTGGCTCATTATATACAATTGTAAGAAAAAAACACCTTTCTATTGTGTTTGTTAGTTTAGAGAAAATGCAAAGTATATAAACACGGAATTAAAGTTTGGTTCCTTAATGCCATAAAAGTTTTATATGGTAGAAGCAAAATATTACTTGAGGAAGACCGTAGGGAACGAGAATGTGTGATTTTTCTTAATGGTGTAAGCTGTTATTTTGATAAATATGCAAGGAACATAGATTTAAACCTCGATGACGTTAGGAGTTTATTGGCTCATATCATGAATGTCAGTGCCATTTTTATGCAAATGATGCCATATGGTCGACTGAGAATCTGAATGATATGCAGTGATTTTTGGATAGCTTGTACGATACAGCAAGATGTCTGGATGTGAGAATTAATCCAGGGAGGTCTTGTGTTTAGCAGGGAATACAAATTATGCATCAAATGATGAAGAATTAGAGCAACTACTGTGGATGAATTTGCGAGAGCCTTTGTAATTTACGAAGTATAAACAAAGCATAGTAGTACATATGTATTTACCTATTTCATAATGTTTTAGCTTTTTTATTGTTAAGACGATGCCAAAGGGAATTTATTTGCCGTAAAAGGTAATGAATGGATGCATTGATAAGTTAAAGACTGTAGCTACACACCACAAGGGTAACGCTTGTTAAGAAGATGTGGCTGAAGGAATCAACCCAGACTTCCAGTGCAGCTCCCAGGCAGCAAAGGCAAATCCATGGAGGCACCCCAGGACAGCTCTCTTGCGAAAGCCTCCGGGGATCTTGGGCTGAGTCAGGGAGGGGGAAGAGTCACCCAGCACAGGGACAAAAGTTGGCTTGTTAAGAGTTTGGAAATTCAAAATGTGGTTTAGCCAAATGCCCGAATTAAGAAATGAACCAGCAAACAAACACGGGTCTAGTTATGAACTTTGTTTTACTGGTTTCTGCTTCTTACTGGCATTAGAGTGCGCTGTATAAATGCTGAGACGTCAAATACTTTTTGTATGCAAATAGAGTGTGACAATTATTTAAAGATTAAAGATTTCTCAGTTCTCCTGTGAAAAACAGAAAACCTCACTGCATATTTCCACTTACCATACAATACATAACCGAGAGACTGATCAGATCTTGCCCTGTGTAGACCAGAAGCCAGGAGACAAACAAACTTCCATTCCCTTTGCTTGAATCGCTTGGGGATTATTTTCAGGCCCAGGTTGTTGAGCTCTGCCGCTACGCAACGGGGCCCTGGAGAGGCCTCGGGAGGCAGCCGGGGCCTCTGGGTGGTGTCAGTTCACAGTGCCAGAGGGGAAGAAGGAAAGGATGGGCTCTTCAGCAAAGGGAAGGCTTTCGCCGTGAAACTCCCGCAAACCCTCCTAGTTGCACCCAGAAACACCAGTCAACATGTGGGTAGCCTTTTAGAGAAGTCTTCCAACGTCTGCCAGTCAACAGTATGTATTAAACTGCCAAGTCCCAACAGCTGTACGGGTTGCTGGAGTTTTCTAAGGCCAGCAGGGAAGGCTGCTAAACCGGCACGGGGCCCTCCAGCTGAGTTGACTGAACGCTCTCAGCTCTTCAGCACTCCCATCTTTCCCAGCAGGAGAGCCACCTTCTCCAGAGAGCTAGGTCTTCCCGGAATGTGTCCGAAGTAGGATAACTTGAGCCTCGAGAAAGAACTCTGGGTCAATTTGCTTGATGATCCATCGGTTTGTTTTCATAGCTGTTCTTACAGTTGGTTCACTACTGTGTTTTGCTCCAGATAGAACATTTACCTGTGCTTTTTTTATTGATTGGCTTATTCTGGTGTTGTATTTTAAATTTTATGTTGCTTGCTGTATTCTTATAGATATTTCAGCGGTTTTTCCAGTCTTCTGACTTGACAATGAGGACATTAATCTACCTTCATGTTTTAATACCAGGAGTTTTTATAATTAGTAAATGTTTTTTAAGATACTTTGGAAGCAGACATCTTTACTGTAGGCAATTTCAGCTTACTCCTCTGATCTTCTTGAAATTAGTTCTGTCTGTCTCTTCAGCACACCAAATTGAGGTTGGAACCTTCTGAATGGAAAACTTCTGGAAGACTTTCCTTGCTTTTTTTGTTTGTTTTCAAGGTTGATGTCTTGTCATTATAATTCTCCTCTTAACACTTGACTGAAACTCCTAGGTGCTTTGGAAGATCCTCCTTTCTTGCTCAGGAACATCTTGAGTACCACCCAACCCAACGGCCCCATCATCTAGCACTATATTCTCAGTCGCTTTATATTGTCCAGCCAAGGGGCTTTCCTGATAATATGCAGGAACAGAAGACTGCTCTGTTCTACACAGAGACATCACACAGTAGTAAACTTATTTATTAATTTTTTTTTGTTGCCCATCTCACTATCCAGAGCAACTCTGGGCAGCTTGCAGCAAGTGGATTTAACAATGGGATGGTTGTTGAGATAGCTACGTGACATCCAAGTGAGATGTCGAGGACGGTCCTTTGGTCTGCTCAGAAGTGTTTCAGAGCAACGTGTACTTAAAAGAAACCGCAATCTATTTGCAGGCGACCGCCCTGATCCTGTTTGCCCTTGCGTTCCTTACCTGCGTTGGGTTTCTGGTGGTCTACAAGGTGTATAAGTACGACCAAGCCTGCCCAGAAGGTTTCGTCTTCAAGGTAAGGAAGGGGACTGAAAGCCAAAGAGATGTTTAGTCAGCGGGGTCTCCGGCAGAATAGTCATGCAGGAAGGGCATAAAAATTAGGGTGCAGGGAAAGCATTTGGTGTCTGTTGAGGCGCAGAGATGGGGAAAAAAGAGCCAGGCATGAATACTTGTTCCTGTGCCCTCCGTGTTGTTCTTTACTGTAACAACTCATTTTGGCACTTGACAACTCTCAAGCAGAGGCTTCTCCCTTCTGTTCAGAACAGTCTGCAAAACGTGGCTCCTTGGGGAATAACAACTTTGGCAAATGGTCCTTTGACTCTCAGCCTCTGGGTCCATGTCCAGCTTAGGTCCATGGATGGAGGCGTTTCCCATGCTAAGCTGGGCCAGACCTTCCAGGCGCTTCCTCAGAAGAGAGAAATTTCTCTTTTATTCTCAAGAGGAATAGAAAGGTGGTGGGTGGTATCAAAGACCCCACAAATGACAGTCTCTAGAAACGAAGGGCCACAGGTCAAGAAAAAGCTCCAATATCCTTTTGCCAAGGGCACCCTGGAAATCTTGGAAGCAGGAGAAGCAAAGAGAGAGAGGAAAACCACTGAGGTGCCCTGGAGGAAGAAAGGTTAAAGGTTTGGGGGAGAAATGAATGGAAAGGGGACACCTCTGCTGGGCCCAAGAAGCTGCCCAGCGCTTTCTCTTTCGCGGATACTTTGGGGGAGAGACACATGCACACCCGGTGCCGCCTTGCTTTCTCTCTGGTTTTCAGGTTTGTGTGTGTGTGTGTGTGTGTGTGTGTGTGTGTGTGTGTGTGTGTGTGTGGCATCTGTGTCTTTCAGAACAATCAATGCATTCCGGCTGGATTAGAGAGCTACTATTCCGAACAAGACTCTAGCGCTCGAGGAAAGTTCTACACGGTGATCAACCACTACAACCTGGCCAAGCAGACCATCACCCGATCAGTTTCTCCATGGATGACGGTGCTTTCGGAAGAGAAACTTTCTGAGCAGGAAACTGAGGCAGCTGAGAAACCTGTTTAGGAGGAAGTCTGATGGCGAAGGGTCCGAAGGTGGTTTTCATGGAATGTCTCATTGTTAGGATCACTTAGAGGTTGCTCATAATTTATGGTGTAATTGCTTTGGTTGCTGCCAACTGCTTTGCAAAACGGAGCAACGAAAAAGAAAGTAGGGCGTTAATGGTCCAGGGCACATCAGCATTGCTTTAGAGCTCTAACACCAATTTCTCTTTCAGTGGCATCAAACTTAGGCACATTCTTGTAATTTAGACATCTGACAGAGTCATTCAGGCAGGGCTTGTTGGCGTGGGATAACGTGCTTCTTACTGTGTGTCCTTGTGTTTTGTTTCCCTTTAAATCGGCTCTGAAATCCAAACATTCATGGGTATGGCTTGCAGTTCCAAAATGAAAACCAAGAAATAAAACCGGCCTTATTTTGCTCACTACATCCATTACCTTTAGGCTTAATTGCTTCTGTTATAGCATGCACTTCACTGTTTCCACTACATGAAAGAATCTTGTGCAAACAAAATAGAAATTAGACATTCAAGAGCTATACAGTTTTAATGACAGATTAGGAGTTTTAATTAAAGGGCAAGAATATAAAGGACAAAATATTCTGAGGGATAGTGGTGACTTAAGGAGATAAACAAGACCGAAACTCTTTAGCCCACCATACAATCTGTGTAACTAGAAAGGACATATTTCATTATAACGGCCTCTTTTAGAAACCTTAACATTGTAAAATACCCTTTGCTGGCAGCATTCTTTGGCCTTTCCTATTCCTGCTGGGAAGAGACATCGATTCCCTTGAGCTCAGTGGGATTTTGACGTCAGCCATCTGGGGAATAAAGTGCCTCCAATGATGGCAACATCCAGATGATTCCGAAGTTGAAAAGGCATGGTGGGGAGGGAGGGAGGGCAAGGCTACTTTCTGGACATAAGCTAAGCACTCACAAGGCCAGGTACACACTCACTATGTTTGACAGACTCCTGCATTATGAAAAGTATGATGTTCAAGTGCTCCTCCACAGTCACTATCGGTTCCTTCCCAGGGAGTTTGGCAAGGCCGCTTCAACCCCTGCAGCATAAGCAGCCAAGGGCGGCAATCCACTGGGTCGACGGGCGTAAATCTGACCAGCTTCTCCACCGCTAAGCTCTAGGGATAGGACAGCGGCGCATTTTAATCTGTGAATCTTTCCTAGGATGGGAGATGGTTGAAAAAACACTGCACTGCATTAGGAAGACCCTCCGTCAAACTCTGGCGTTGACTTGTCTGCTGTTCTCAATTGCAGGTTGTAGCTTACAACTGCTGTCATTTTTGTTCTTCTGAATGTATTATTTCCCAGTGGAATGTCAAAAGTTTCATTAATTTTACCGAAACACACTTTAAAATCAACATGTCTTTTTTTTTCTAACCTTCTACTAAGACAAACATGGTTCTAGGTTATATTTCCTTCCAGAACTTTTTTTTTGCACCAATCTATTTGGAAAATGCCATCTACGGTTTTGTTGGAAATTTTAATATTAAATATAGTTACATATTGTACAATTTTTGGTATGTAATCGCTGTTGTGTGGAATACATAAAAAGCAATAACTTATGTGCCAAATCTTTCATTTGCATCAAGGAGTTCTCTCTTGTACACACAACACCATGTTTGTATTCCCTAGTAGTCAGTACTTTTACCGAATTCACATGTAACTTTTGACATTTTCACTCTGTGTAAAATAAAATAGTATGCTCAAGTCTCAAACTCCGTATGTTTAAATAGATGTTTGCAGCGGTGAAGAGGAAAAGAAATGAAGGATTCCAATCACACTACTTGCAATAAAAACCTCTTCTAAAACACCTTTCTAATAATGATTATTTGCATGACTATGTCTGAGCAATCCCTGTTTGCTGTAAACTGAAGTGCACTGGATCATTCAAGAAGACCTCCTTCCTCTCCATTCTTCATGGGGGGGGGGGGCCTTCCACAGACCCCAGAGTCTCGGTGTCCCCAAAGCTGAAGAGGCCAATTGGGGCTTTGAAAGGGAAGACAAAATGAGGGGAGGGAGTTGGAGTGCAAAGTTTCTGGAAAGATCCAAGTAGCCCCTGTTCCGAGCTGAAGCCCCTCTCCATAAGGGAACTTTTTTTGGGGGGGGCAGCTCCACCCACTTCAACCAACAGGGAAGACCAGTAGCATTCCTCATGCTGGAAAACACTGCCCCCAGCCCCACGCCTGAAGAGGAAGCAGCTGATTGGCATTTCATCACATACAAATGTTTGGCAACTTCTCACTGCTATGATCATGTACCTGTCAACACTTTTCTTGAGCATTTCCTGGCAGCCGTTCAGTTTCCTTCTGCTGCCTAAAGCTCCCTGTGACTTCTGAGATGTTCCTGAGTGTTAGTTTACAGAGGCACACACACATACACACACATACGATATATACATATTTCTACAGCCATGATGCGTGAACTACTGTCACCTGGCGAGGTGGTTCCACAGCCTTTATTGCGGGCCAGGATCAGCTTCCATACCAGTCCAGAAACAACAGAGAGAAGGAGCACATGACCAGGAAGAAGAGGATCCACACTCGAAATCCAGCATTATTCTTGATTGCCTGTGGAGAACAAAAAACATCCTTTTAAAAGATGTAAATTGCAGTGGGCAATTCAGGAATGTGCAAAACTGTTTTCAGTTTATGCCTCCAACATAGTTTTTGTCTTCAGATCTTTCGTTCCACATGGCAACCTCTTAAGAGCAGAATACAGAAAGAAAAGGCCAATCAAATTATGACTGACAGGTTCACTAAGGTTTTTAATGTATGTTCTCGCCACCTTTTTATTTTGTTTTTATTTTATGCCACTACTTTAGCTGAAGTAAGAACAAAGAAGTAGCATTTTTATCAATTTTTATCAATTGTCAATTGTCCATCGGTCCTTGCTTGCAAAGTGTGCAGGACGCTTTGACCAAAGAATGGTGCTTGAGGGGTTAGGGTCTCTGGTGCAGAGGGTCTCAGCCTACATTCGGGGGGAAAGGACCACACCCATAAGCATAGCTGATTGGAGGCAGTGGAGCGCTGCCCACCTCCAAGACGCCATCCTGGACCCCACAGCATTGGAGAGTTTTTGTCCAGTCTCCAATCTTTCCTTCTTAAGGAAAGTGGTTGGCCCACAGCTACAAATACTGCCCACGGTTAATTTTGGACAGGGAGGCACTTCCACAGATTGAGCTGCCCAGAGTTTTATAAGATAGGCGGCTATATAACTGTTTTGAATGAATGAATGTGCACATCTTCACACCACACAGAACAAGTGTAACCAGAAACAAGACTGTATTCCTTCAAAATGCAACAGAGCCAGGCTACTGGAGTACAACTTGCCACGGGCCAGTCAAGAATAACAAAAATCAAGAAAGCACCTCCCACCGGCGCGCCTAGCCAAAATGTTCCCAAATACATCTCCGATGTGCTGGAAATGTAAATCACAGAAAGGGACATATTATCATCTCTGGTGGCTATGCCGAAGGGCAAAACAATACTGGCAACAAATTAAAACAATGATTGAAGAAATCACGAAACAAAAACTGGAAATGAGGCCGGAAACCTTTTTATTGGGAATAATCACAACACAATATACCAAAGAAATAAAATATTTGATCATCCATATCCTCACAGCAGCACGTATACTCTTTGCCCAACATTGGAAATCTGAACAGTTACCCACAGAAGACAAAATAATAGCTAAAATCACAGAATGTGCAGAATTGGATAAGCTCACAAAAGAAATACAAGAGAAAGATGATACTGATTACTATTTAGTATGGCAAAGATGGTACAACTGGCTGGAGGCAAAAATAGGAATATAAAGATGATTTTCGAGTACTCAATAGAAATGCATAGAAGTAAATAAGGAGTCAATTATATATGTACATATACAACTAGGTAAATAGGTGACTGTAAATATTGATACAAATAGAAATATGAAAAATAACCCACCGTTGTAATATCTTCTAAGAGCCAGTCATTGGACTGAATTGATGTGTGTTCGTTTTGTATGTTGTTTCAATGTATCTATGTTGGTTTTGTTTTTTTCTTTTTATTATTAATAAAAACTATTAAAAAAAAAAATCAAGAAAGCCTTGGCCAAGTTTACCTCTCTTATGTCTTCATTGCCTTCCTTGATGTTCTCCGTTGCACCCACAACTATCTGGTGGATATTGTCAATTTCAGCTTCCTAGAAATTAAGTTAACACATATTTGGTGACTCTGCAAATGGCAGCAGCTAGATGACCTTGGCTGAACCCTTCTGGAAAAAGGTAAATATGACTTTTGAGGCGGACAGGAGTTGGATGAGAGACCACAAGGCAATCCAAAGGATCTAGGCTGCACTGGGAATTGGAAGAATTATCTGGGAACTCGGCAGTATCTTCATAGCCCCAGTGCACTTGTTCATTCCCCCATAATGTTCTCTCCTGAACATTATATTTCTGCAGCAAATGTGTGTTACACAAACTCTTTTGGTAACTCTCCTCACGGTCCCCACTCTATTATAATTAATTCATATTTTGCTCCATCATCATAGACGCTTTGCCTCTATCCTACAGGGTGCCATGAATTTTTTTAGAACTCAAAATGCTTTAGTGAAAGAGTCAAATATGAGATTCTTCTTACCTGTTGTAATACTTTTTCTGTAAATATTTCTTGAAGTCTAGATATTTCAACTACTTTCCCTTCAATCTGCCTAAAATGATCAAAATGTAACAAAGGAAAGCAAAAAGACTTTGTTATATATAAACACAGTTAAGAATAAACATTTCCCATTTTTACAGAATGAAGTAAATAGAATATTTTACATTCCTAAGATAGTGAAGGATTACTGGATGCAGATTTTCAATAAAATGCTTAATATAAAGCAGATCAGTTGTTTATAGCAACATTGGAAAAATACAATTTATATAATTAGGTGTAGGTTCTAGGTGTGTAAAAATGCAGACTGCTACACAGAAAAATTGGACACCTATTATCTGTGCAATATAAAACTGCATTAGTCAGAGATGGCTCCTGTTGGAGTTGGGAAATCTAATAGGCTGCAAAAACTACAGGCTGAACCAGAGCACAGAATTCGTAGAAAGCACCAGCCCCACTGAGAGGCTGATCTACGGACACGCCCCTGGGATAAGCACCAATTCCCACTGTGCTGCCCACACAACGTCACCTCAAGCAGGTGATGTGGGCTGAGAACCTTGATCAAAATGTCAAAAAAAAAGCAAACCGAAGGGGAAAAAACTGTACCTCACTTCATCAAACAGGCTGTTCATTTCACCCACAAGGCGTTGGTTTTCCTGCTCAAACTGGGGTTGGGAGGAGAAAGGAGAAAAGAAATTATTGCAATTTAAAGCTTAGTTCCAATGGACCATCTATGTGAAAAAGTAAGTTTCAGTGAAACTCTTTCCAGGAATTCAGTTTTTCTTAGGCTATCCCTGCCGGTATCACACAAGGAAGGTCCCAGAGAAGACATGACGGATCTAAGAACTGTTGAAGAGAGATCTGAATTCAGGGCTCTCCTCTCCAACACTCTTCATCTATATCTGCCTTCTTCTAAGATTAAAAATATGCATCCTTTTCCCGGAAATTTCTGAGCAAGTATTCTTTAACTGAGCTATGGGGAGAGGGAGAGGAGGAATGAGAATTATTTCTGTATTCAAGGTAAAACTACTACTAATGCAGCAGAAACATCTCTAAAAATATTTGCAAAACAGTTATGTGGTCAGAGATCAAATAAACAGAAGTTAGAAAACATTACACTCCATCCAATTAAAAAAGAAGAAAAGCCTATTCACATCTATGCAAAATATACCTAAAAAACCCATCAGGTCTCCAAATTTCTATTGAGAAAATTTGACTACAATTCTGGGGACTTCCTGATGCTGGCCATTCAGGAGGTGGTGCACAAGTGCTACGCGAGAGGAGGCTGCCCAGTATGTAAGCAGAAGGCAGGCTGACTGATGGGCGAGAGGCCTTGGGAAGCTCCGTTTGGGAGCTGAAGATCCTCCCTGTCAAAATCGGAGGGGGAGGGGTTCAGTCCCTGAGGGACAGACACTTAACCCTAGCTTCCTGCTCAAGATGAAAAGATTAATTACCATTTGGATTTCTTCAGGGGAAAGCTCGTCTTCTCCTCTGCTGTCTTGACCAAGACTAAAATCAGGATGCTCATCAATTAGGTTCCTCTCTGCAAAAGAAGCCAAACAAAACTGTCATCATCATGAAGCCAGTCCCAAATTGCTAGGCCCATACAATATGAAGCGAAGCCACACAATTCTGCTTCTTTTAAACTTTCAGTTCTTGCCTGGTATGTAGGAATTTCAGGTGGGCATCTATTCTCCAGGATGTCGTGTCCCTCCTGGCTTGGCCTAAACGAGTCAGTCCTTGCTATTCATGCCCAAAGACCTTAAAACATGTCCAGCCAGCTGCTGCTGCTGCTGTTGGTGTTGAGCCCAGGGTGGCTCAAGAGTTGGTGGCCTCCATGGCAAGCAGGGACCTACCCCTTCTCATTGAGGGCCCAATGAATCCCAGAGGCTGCCCATTGGGTCTGCCTTTGCTTTCGGGCAACCGCAAAACGATCTGGCAAGGGAGGATCATCCTCCACTGCCACAACCGTATTGCCACAAAGGTGGATTGTTCTCTGACAGCCTCCTGGTTGACTGGTGCCATCCTCCCCACGGAAGGACTGGAGGATCCCATGGCAGAGCTTAGGGTTTTTGCCAAGGGCCTGGTGGGCAGTTTGGCTAAGACCACGGTCACTGTGTGGAATGGGCTGGAGAGGGCATTGTCAGTGCCACATAAGCTCTCCCTGTGTGCTATTCCCAGAGCACACTTTACGGAAGAGTTCCAGAGCGTGAAGCACTCCAAGAGATAGAAGACATGAGCGAATCCGATCAAACCTGGTCCATAGTCTGGATCACCTACGGCAATAAGGATGGCAAAATGTACTTCTCTGCCCTGTTGTGTTTGTCAATAGTCATCCAACGGCCCATTTTGGAGGGACCCGGTCCTTGTTATGTAGTGACAGGCTGGATCATCCATGAGGTATTCTGGCTATCAGGCTGACAAAGTTGCTCAGTTCTGCGCCAAGCTGGACTCCAACTGGTCAAGTCTGCTCAAGATGCCAGAGGCTCACTGAAGTGGGATGGAATGACTGCAGCCTAGACAACAGCCTGATAAGTAAAATTTGAGTCTGAAGGTTGAGGAGGGGTGAAAATGTCTCAGAAAGGACCCTCCCTAGTTTTCAGGAATGTAAAAGTGAGGAACAGGAGGGGTACTTTCAGATCTCCAAGAATCATATCCCTGTGAGGTAGTCCAGACAAGAAATGCAACCAGGAATGCAACACTATCTTTACTGCTTATATTTAACAGAATTCTATAGCTTGAATGTGGTTCTGGATATCAGTCTCCTTTCCACTCCAGGTCTATTTTAAAACTCTCCAGTTTCCCTCAGCAAGACACCTTCCAAATCCCCTCCTCCTGGTCTACCAGATCTCTCACCAGGAGCATCCCTGTAGATGCTATAGGAATTTTCTCAACAAGACTCTCTCCAATCAGCAGTTCAGCTCCAAAATCCTTCATTCCTTCCGTGGCCTTGACCTTCAGCTGGAAGTATAGACAATATCCATGCTCAACTCTTCCTCCCTAGCAACTTGGAATCCTTCTAATAATCTTTTCCAGCCTCTTTTGGGAATGTCACTAGTTCTGACATGAAATCGAAGAAAAGGATAGTGACCGTCAGCAGGTTTAATGGTCAAATCTTCTGATTTTACAAACCACGGCCAACGGCCAGGATCTTTGCACCTGGTAGATAATAGACCTCCATTGTTCTCATGTCTAGTTTGTGGAGGGCTGACACTGTTCCTCTCACCACCGAGTCCCCCATCCCCATGAGCGTCCTTTTTGGGAGAGCAATTGGACTTCTCCCCTTAGAGGAAGCCCAAGCTTCTCTTCTTTCCATCCTTAGGAGCCTGCGTGAAATCTCTTCTCCAGAAGTCTGAGGGTCGCCCTCCAGGGGGGAGGCCGGAAACTGACTGTGCTGCCAAGGAACGCTCCTCTTTGCTGCCTACAGAAACTCCTCCCTTCCCCGACAAGTTCCAGTAAAAGTCGCAAAGCCAGGAGTCTGCAGCTGCTGTAGCAGAAACCCTCCTCTAGCAGGGAGGGAAACATGGGAAACAAACACTGACTTGAAGGCTCCACAATGAGTGAGTCAATATTGATATTGGACCACTTCTGAAACCCATAAAATATACCATTTCACTTTCAAGCAACACACTATAAATGCAGCATAATGATAAGTAACTGAAAACTATTTTTCCTGAGTTAATAAAGAGAAAATTCCCCAACCGGAAGCCAAATGAGCCTCAACATTCTACAGCATTTAAAGCATGGCTGTTGTAATATTACAGGCAGGAAGGGATTACCACCTCGGCTGCCTTCCCTGGTGAGTTTTTCTTCCAATTCTTCAGGAGGAGGAGAAGCCTCCGTCTCCATCTCGGGCACTTTTCCACAAGAAGCCGTGAGTGCTGACTTACTGCTTTGCTCAGGCTCAAGCCTGGATCTAAAGGAACAAAACACGAGAAGTAAACAACCAAGGGCTGCTCTCCTCCTTTCCACCCATCAGCCTGGAAAGCCTGCCTGCCTGCCCCTCCCCATGTTTACACAGGGGTGCCTCAAGGCCAGGCTCACTCTCTGCCCTTTCCCGGAGACACCCCCCCCACACACACACACAGGTAGGTGTGCCACTGTCCCAGCAGCAGTGGGTGTAATCAAACTATCACCCCCCCCACCCCGGCCAAAAGTGACAGAGGGCCTCTTGGGAAGCAATCAAATACCACCACAAATGATTTCTGAATTTGGTTCAAACTTCCACAATAATTGAAACAAAAGGCAAATAATAGAAGAAACAGGAGAGTGGAACGTCTCCATCTTTCTCTGTTCTGTCTAAATGCCGTAACGTGTAATGAGCCAAGTGATTGACAGCTATTTAAAGGCTGGTTTGTGTGGAATCATTCTGGACAACCCTGTCTGGGCCCAATCAGAACAGGCCATCTTTGGGCCTGGGGGCTACCAGGGAACACCAGACCAAGAAGCTGAAATACATCTTGGAAGAAGGCAGGAGGACACCTCTCAGGCCCTGCTGCCAATTAATCCACAAGGGGTTCCCAGGGGTTGAGCTCAACACAGGGGTGATTTTACTCCCAAGGAGGACAGCAGGCACCTGAGGATGGAAGATCCAAGATAAATCAACAATTACATTTAAAATCAGAGGGTGGGTTCCTAGGATTCTGGATTTTGCTCTTCTTATTCTGCAATCATCTCTGGATTTAACAGTTGCTCTACAGAAAACATTTCTAATTTAGGATGGCAATAAATGTGTTGTCAGACATGGTAGGAAAAAAAATTGCTTTGCTGGCTTTATTCCTCTGCTGTGTTTAATGGCAGCTGCTGAGAGAGAGAGAAAGCCAGGCCAGGATGTCATGCCCGACACTTGGGTCACATTCAGCAGCTCTCCTCCAGGGGCTTCCCTTTCCAGACGCCGTATGTGGGGAAGGGGCTTCTCCCCTGAAAGCCCTGGGGAGGGCTCTCCCAGGGAAGCCAACTTTCCCTCCACGGGGTGGTCTTTTCAGGGACAGCAGGAGGCCCCCTCGTCTGCCAGAGAGTTTTGTGGTCAGTTGGTCCTTGTAATGGCCAGCATTACCCCAAACTATCCTTTTATTTTAATCCTTCCCATGCTACTTATGCTCTTGCTTTTACTGAATTAAGTCATGTTTGAATTATACACACCACTTCAGTTGTGGGTGGATTAGAACTACAATATGCTCATTGTCATAAACATGATGAACTGAAATAAGTCAATGATTCCTCAAGATCTTCTATAGGGCATAAAAGGTGATTGATTCATTTTGCCATGCAGAGTTAGGCTTCTGGGCAATTCTTTTTTCCCAACCTAATGGGTATTTTTGCAAAAATAAAAGGAGAATAGTTCAAAATAAACAATTTTTAGATATTAGATTTTAGTTTGTTGTTTGATTATTGCCACACAGAAGTTTAAGTATGTTCAATATTACTTTAGAAATGAAAAACCTGTAGCCCTCCCCAGCAATTGCAGCCACCACACCACCACCACCACCACCACCCACACACACACTTCTAGGAAAAGCAGCTTTGGCAGGTTCACATTCTGAGCAGCATATGGAAATTCATAATTTCTTGAGAGGGTGAAACAATTTGTTCTCTCTTTCCTTAAGGTAATTTGCCCACCTTGGGCACCATGTATTCGGGATGATTCATTCACTTCTCCTGATTACATAATCCACCTGTGCACCAACCTGTGCAGTGGGCTTATTATTCCCTCTGGTTAATTATGCTGCATGGTGTAATTATACTGACAGCCCTGGGAAACGCTCGGCCCCCTTGTGCATTGTATCCTTACTATTGTACGCAGTTACCTTCAGTGCTGAATTAGCAACGTTGTATAATAAACTTAAGTGTAACTGCTCAAAAAGGAAATCCCACTGAATTCAGCTAAAATACATTGAGAGGCTTAAGCTATCGTTATACATTATCACTCTGCCCCCCCCCCCAAAAAAGGAAAGCAAAGAGGGGGGAAAATCTATATAAAATTCTGGGTAAGTTTAAAAAGAAACGCTTACAATGTTTGCTTGTTAGGTTTACATTATAAAACATTAAAAAAAAGCTTCAGAATCAATTCTGGAAGCAAATTGAATATTTTTTTTCTGAAAGACCAAGACGTTTGCACAGAAATTGACAAGATCTTCCAATGCAGTAACAAAAGTCTCACTTACAATCTCTTTTTATCCACTACGCGCTTGACCCGTATTGCTCTTTGTTTCGAGTACAGCTTGCACACTCCTGTGAAAGAGAGCAACAGCCATCCAAACTGAACTGTGATTACCAGGTCTCTATACTTGGGATACAATCTTGTGTTCCCAAATTTACTGCCAACTCTACTTTATTACATGCCTGCCTCTTTTTTTTGAAAAATGGTTTATACAGAAGAGCAGTTTCCACCACAGTATTTCTGATTTATAAATCATGGTTGCATTTCTCTTTTGTAGCAATTTTTAAAATGTAATAAACCAACTTTTTCCATATATAAAAATGACTTCAATTTGATCATTTAAATTATTCTTTTCTATTCCTCATTTTAAGCATAACCGCAGTGAAGCCTCCCAGACCTGATCATTTACATATCTTTATTACAAAAACATTTAAACTTAAAATTTACTATCATTTCCAAATCTATTTGGGATAATGGAGTGGCTAAACCTTTGGGCTAAAGTTAACTTGCATAGGTATTTCTGACAGGCAACGTTTTTAATATTGGGACACTGATGAAGGTTACCTTGTTCAATAAGAGTTACTGCAACACTATACAGTAGGAAATACATTGAACATTTTAAAAACTGCATTGCCTTACTCTACTCCTAAAATTAATGAAATGGTTTTAGATTGCTGAAAAACGGTTTGGTGCACAAATGGATATAAAATTTGTTTTCCATTTTTTTTTAATAGCAGCAAGAAAATGGCTAGTCCAATATTATGGGAAATGAACAATGTGACTCTGTTATTAGCTATATGTCCATTTTTTATCTTATTTGGAGTAAAGAGGATGAATTATTTCAGGAATTAAATGATCATGTGCCACCAAGCCATTTTCAACTCCTAGTGACTACACAGGTAGATTTCAAGATTTAGGAGGTAGAAAAAAATGGAGGCATTATTAAAAATGGATGCTAATGAAATTAAATATTTTCTGCTGTTTTAAATACTGTCATGGTTTTTTCACTGGCTCACTACTATTAGTGGATTTATTAAGAACCCTTTGCCTCTTCCCAAGCAGTTAAAAAGCTTTTGTTTGTTTAATAACTACTCCGTTATCACTAAGACCTCAACCCACTGTCCATAGAAACTACTGTCCACCAGGCTGAGTTATGCCACTGCCTTTAGCCTCCAGCTGCCAGCCAGATTCTTCCAGAAAATTGCCAGACTCCTCCTTTCTCACTGGAGAACTTGCTTTTCAATTGGCCCTCATATGGAAAAGAATTTCTGAAAATGAAGTGGTCACAATAGCAGAGACTAATTTTGCAAAACATATAAACACAAGTATTGTTATTTCAAGAAAAACTGATACTTTTTAAATAGTCTGCAATGAAATCCAATACAGTTTCTCGGTGCTGCTTCACTTGTGGGGAATGGATGTCTTTGTGTGCTGAAATGAAAAGATACAGAAGGTTATTTTCCTCAAAAGAGCTCTCCGCCTGTCTGGCTAAAGCAACACATGTAGCTTAAATTACCTTCTGCTCTTAGCTGCTGAATTGCATCAGCACAGGTTCTCATGAAGATTTGGGCATCTTGGTCAATCTGATCTCGGTCAGTGTCGGACATTCGCACATACTCAGACATGAGATGGCTGGGAAAAACAGCCAAGAGTTCAGCCATGTTTTCTGAAGAAAAACTTAGGACAACATAGTACTTTGCACAATCTTTAGAAAAGGATAATGAATGTTGACCATGAAAATTGATTACCTGCCTCAGATCTACTCTTAATGTAACGTCCAACTCAGTCATGAAGTCATTTGAGTGTACAGAAGAAGAGAGGGACTGCAGCGTAAACTTCCTTATTCTATTTCTGCTCCTTTCCCATTTTTTGTGACATTTGTTTACCTGACATAAGGGCCTATTAAAATAATTAGAATTCACAGAATTCGCATTAGCTAGTGGCATGTTTATTTATGTACTTATAGGGCCACACAACTAGAACAATCAAGTGGCAACCAGGGACTCCTATTTGTTATATTCCTCCCCCCTTGAAAACTATGCATCCCGATGCCTTTATTACCATTCCAGAAGCCTCACACAGAAAGGGTGGCAGTGACATATTAAAATGCCCCCAAGCATCAGCTGGGATTCAGCCCTTACAACAGCCCTCCAATTTACAGTGTATAAATTTTCTTTTTCCTACTCCAAGGATAATTAAGCTTCATACAATACCACTAAACTCAGTGTCAGACTGGGAAACTGGCACAGGAGCACTGATATTTTTTCTCACGGTTGTCAATTTTCACATTTTCAATCATGACACTTACCTATAAGCATTTATGTAATCTTTCCGGTGCTGCAGAAGAAAGTCTTTGAGTTTCCCAATGTTATTAACCTAAAATGAATGAATAGTAAAAATTAACAGATAAAAAGAGTTGGAAGGGACCTTGTAGGTCATCTAGTCCAACCCCCCACCCCACCCCCGGCCCAAGCAGGAGACCCTACACGAGTGATGGCGAACCTTTTCAGCACCAAGTGGCATGCGGACCCATGTCGCCTGGCACACGTGGCATCGCTTGTTCCTCTTCTGGGTTTCTGGCATACATGCGTGCATAATGATCAGCTGTCCTTTGTGCATGAGCTTGTTTTCCGTTTTCCTGCGTGAGCATGCGCTCCGGCTAGCTGATCGTCACGCGTGCATGTGTGCCAGAAACCCAAAAGACTAGCTGGCCAGTGCGCATGCGTGTACTGGAAACTGGAACACCCAGGCTCCTTGACTGCCCAGCCCCCGAGCCGCCCCCCCCTTCACTGCTCCCCAGACCCACTGCTGTCAAGGAGAGGGCAGGGGCCTGGAGGGCCTGAGCTACTGCCACTTCTCTGGGTAGCGAGGAGGGAGGAGGAGGAGGAGTGCTGGTGGTGCAACACTCTGGCAGTCCAGACCACGAACAGGCTTTGCTTTCAGCAACAAGTTAAAACGTTTTTTTAAAAAGGTCATTCAGATCAATTCCTACCCAGGAAGGGAATCTTAAACAAAGGTTTAAATCCTGTAGAGGGAGGGAGGGGAGGGCAGAAAAGCAGGAGACAGTCTGGCTCCCTCTAATGATCAATCTGGCTCAGCTTCTGGTTTGTATCAACAAGGAGGAAAAATGTAAAAGCAGGAGAGGGTTCAGGACTGACTTCACTTTTAACAAGTGCAGGTTGCACATTTTATCTAGACACGGTTGCTCTACGGTTACTGGGCAGGTGTCCTCCTAGACCACGGGTCTGCAACCTTAAACACTCAAAGAGCCATTTCGACTAGTTTCCCACAGAAATCAAATCACCGCCACAAAACCTGGGTGGGCGTGGCCAACTCGATGTCACTCACTCCCACCCAATCACATGACACCCCCCCCCCAGCCACACTTTTGTGGCTCCGTGTGTTTTCTTTTCTGTGGGAAACAAGTATGTCTGTCTCTGTCTCTGTCTCTGTCTCTGTCTCTGTCTCTCTCTTTCTCTCCCTCTCCCTCTCCCTCGGGGTTCCCTCCTGAACCATTTCCAAAAATAGGCAAGGGTTGGTGGGGAGCGGGGGTTGTGCTGATGTTGTTCTTTCTTCTTTGGATGCCTTTTACCATATTTAAATCAAGAGTAATTTCAGGTGTCAGAGTGTTTACAGTGTAACTACTATTTTGAGACAATCCAGGAGCAAAATACGTCTTACAAACAGTGATTTATATACAAGTCATATATATATACAGACTGTAGGAAGTTAGCACTCACCCCCTTTCCTAGAAGAATGAAATATTTTGGGAAATATCAAAAAGGCAGAATATTATGTTTCCCTGGTTGAGAAATGGAGAAACATGTTTTAAAGACAAAGCAACTCCCACCTTCCTGCCTCCCCCCCTTTGTTAATGGGCCAGAGGCAGAAACTCAATCTTTGACAATAGGACCCATCTGCAACACAATAGCAACAGAAATTAACACAATGGAACCCATCTAGGACAGAAATTCACAACATGTCACCTGGGAAGATTACATCAGCAGCAAGGCTAGCTAAGACCCCCACCCCCTGGGAGTCTGACAACCAATCAGGATACTCTTTCTGGGCCCCAGGAAGTTCAAAGACAGAGAAAGCATAAAACCTGGGGACTTGCTGTATCTCGGGCCTTTTCTGTTCAGGAACTCAAGCCATGTGATCCTGTCCACCATTAAACCATCTTTCCAAGCAGTCTCCATGTTTCCAATGTCTTTTTCCCCACTTGGAGCTGAACCCAGAAGGATATTTCTTCCAACAAGACATACATGTGGTGGGCACATACCAGGAAAGCAATCAGTCTTCTTCAACTCTACACAGAGAACTACAATGCAGATACATGAGGAGAGAGATGCCCTCTAATTGCCTCCTTTATATAGATAGCTTCTTAAAGGGCAATAACCCTGCTGACTCATCCTCAGTCTTAAAGGGCTGGTCAGCTTTAAATCATCATTACCCTGACATCAGGTTCCCAGATAAATGAAGCTCTTTTGTCCCCCTGCTGTGGCTCCATTGACTGAACCCACCACTGGCTGGCCCCGCCCCTCACCCTCCCCTCCCAATCACTCCTCGCCTGACCTGAGAAGGTAAGGAAAACAGCGGTGAATTAGCTGGAAGAATAAGAAATGAATGGTCTCCTGTGAAACACTTTAAAAAACAACCAATTAATTCACTGGAAAACTAAGCTGCTATCAGAAAATATGAAGAATTAATCCCACCAGGTGTTTTGATTTCTCAGTATGGACTCAGATGAGACACAGCCTAGTGGGAAAGTGAGTTTTTTACACAAACTCTCCCAGTTGTGATTGGTCACTGATGTTTTATTTCTTTCCTCTTTTCTTCCGCTGCATCCCACATCCCAGCACATCCCTCCCTCAAGCACACAGCTTTTGAGCAACTCCTTTCATTTGTGTAGTTGTATAACTAGAGAGGAAGACAAAGAGGAATGTTTATTTAGATCCCCTCGACACGACACGTCTCACCCTGCCAGTAAATGAAACTCTGCCCATCTTGGGGGCCTGTTTGGGGCGCCTTGCCCAGGTCCAATCCTTGGCCTGCTTGCTTCTGAGTAAGCTACTTGAGTTCAAGGACGCACATCCAGTTTACTTTACTACTTGATTATGATCTGCACAAACAAAGGGAAGTTGGTGTGTGTGGTTGTTAAGACAAGCTTTCCTTCAAAGTTGAAACAATAAATGAAAGCTACGCCATATAAACCAGACCCACAGACTGGCGTGTGCACATCTTCTATTTCAATATAAGACACATCTGATTTTAATAATATTCCAATTTTTTGTTTTATTGCCCAACTCTAATCAGAACTTCAGTTAATATTTATATTTTCACACAATGATCCAAAACCTCACAAAATGCAACGCAAAAGCAGCTGTGAGAAATGCTAAGAACAATAATTTTTTAAGAAATAGGCAAAATACTTGTTTATTGAAATTGACTTTGTACTGATTAAATACACTTGATTTACAACAATTCTCAATTACTAAATTAAATTTTATTTGTGCTCTTACATAAATATATCCTAGTTTCTTTTTACTCCAGATAAATTATATTTCCACTTATTTCTTTCCCTTTCCATTTGTTCTTAATAAATTTAAAACCCTATCAAGTAAACAAAATGATGGTAATTTGTGAAGCTGACCTCTTTCTTCCCAGCAGAGCTCACGGGCCCTCTGTCAACTTCCCTCTGGCCACATGAAACACTCATTAAGGGAAAGACTGATTGGAAGAGATTTTTTTTTTAATAAAACAACTGTTTGGGTTTATGAATTCTTACTTAAAAGTAAATTCCATCTGCATGTTATGAGATTACTTTTGGGTGCCTGAATCTTTTTTTTGGGGGGGGGGGGGGGTGCAACTTTTGTCTAGTTAGGAGTTGGATTACTTTTGAAGGTTAAAATGTTTTGGGTGCTGGAAGGGTTCCTGTTCCTGGGCACTTGGCCTCTAAGCAGCTCAATTTTTGAGGGTGGTGGTAGTGGAAACAAATAAAGTGAATTTTGTTGTATGGGTATACTGTGTATACACGTATAATGACAATAAAGTTATTATTATTATAAAGAACTGCTGAAAGTTGCCCTTTTGTGATTTACATGAAATGGTAGGAGTTGGCTCCCATAACAATCCTGCTAAATTCTCAGCAACCTGAAGTTCAATGGCTAAAGAAGGCATACTTAATTCTGCACAAGGGGCATTTTTCTTGACCATTCTTATCAAAATATTTACACCACTCCTACATTGCAGGATCCAACCTGGGTCAGTCACCAGGACCAGAGGTTTAATACTGGAGCCCATCCTCGGGAAGCTTCTCCCTCATCAGAATGTGTGACGTTGCCTGGTGAGAGAGAATTTCTACAGCCGGGGGTGAGGCTGGCATCCCATGCGTTCTGCCGTCAAATCCAGAGGGCTTCATTGTTAATTGCTATTTTTAAACTGTATATAAGCATAACCAGCATAAGCCAGAGATGAATGCAGCAGTATTCAATGGCCTAGCTCTAGGAAAACAGGTCTCTTTCCCTAAGGCTTTCCCCTATACGGTAACAAGAGCAAGGGGCGGGGGGGGGGATTGTTTCCATGGCCATTAGCTCCGTTAAGCCCCAAGGGTGCAGCAGGGCTGACTCTGGAGCCGCAAGTGGTCTTGGGAAAAGCCTAAGTCCCAGGAGGTGCAATACGTTATTCAGATGACAACCAGAAACACTGACGTTGTGTCCACCCTCCCTGGTACACAGACAAGAAACATGACTATATGAACTAATTATATTTTATTGTATTGTGAGGCCACTTTACCAAACTTCCACTGCCATTTTTAAACAGCCCAAACAATTAGGGCGGCTCCTCCCTATATTTCTTCCTCTGGGGGCTCCTGCCCTGTTTCCTAAGGGAGCATCCCCTCCCTCATCCCACTACAGATGCCTCAATGGGGGGGGGAGAAGGGTAATGAAGGACCTGAGGGGAGTCTCACTCCCCACTCACTGGCCCACCTTCTGGAACAGCTACGATTTCCAAATTGCCTTCAAGGGACACCCTATGAGGAAGGCAGGGAAGGCAGAGTCCAGCCTTGAGTTTATGAAGTGTCCAACTCTCTCTCCCCTCCCCCCTTCCCATCCCAGGCAGGGACAGTATTGCCTTACCAGCCAAGCCAACCTCCATGCCATTTAAGGTTAGGTGGCTAAGAGTATCAAGACTGACCCAGCAGGACCCACCTCCCGACGACCACCTTACCACTGCTCGGTGAGAGCAATCCTGTCAGAAGAGCTCCATCTGCCAAAGGCTGACCCACCCTTGGCCCCCATTTGTTTTTCTGCTCCCAATCCTAAATACGCCCAACCTCAAACTTGTCAGAAAGGAGAAATACAGCAGTGGAGCAT